TTTGATGATGTTCTCGATGGAGACAAGCTTCATCAATCACTGGACCACTTGCTTTACCTTGGCGACTGGAAGAAACTTGGCGGACGTTTCAGATTAGACAAAGATGGGAAACTCGAGCTTCATGTACCCGAACGGTTTACTTCCGATCGGCCATCTATACACTACTCGCACGAAAGCCTGCCCATGAGGGCTGCGGAACACCCCCTCGCCAGCAGGATACCTAAAGCTTCATCTCGACCTTCTTTTCACCCAGCAACCGAGGAGTTTCTACTTCCATTGACCGTCAGGCCAGGAATGCCCCACGCCATGGAAGACTATCTCTCGTCCGACGAGCCACTTCTATCTCTTCGGGTGGTCGTATTTCTGGACGCTACTATTGTTTCACTGGCCTGGCCACACGCCGTTACGGACATGGTGGGCTTGGCTGCTGTGATCCGAGCTTGGTCGTTAGTTCTAGCTGGGAGGGAAAATGAGATCTTGACAATCGATGGCGTCAGACACGACCTCCTTTACCAAGCTACTTTGAAACCAGCACCAGAAAAGTTTGCACTTGAGCCATGCATGCTTATTGGATTTCGCTTTTATCTCTTAATCTTGCGATTTGTCTGTGACATTCTGTTCGGCGGCCGCAGAGAAAACCGAATCATCTACCTGCCAAAGAAGTCTGTCCAAAAATTGCATTCTGAGGCGATGTGTGAGATCAACCTCCACAGGAAGGAGCCTTTGAAGATCACTCGCAGCGATGCGATTCTAGCCCTCTTCTCAAGAAGCCTAGTCCTGGCACAAAAACGACCTCTGCTTGTCGTCGTCCCCATGGACCTGAGGTCGCGACTCAAGGATATTTTCCTCCCGAGCATGTCGTATCCGCAAAATGCGATCCAGGGCGGCCACTTCACCGTTAATGCGGATGAGACGACCACTAAATCCATTGGGCATCTGGCTTTATCTTTCCGCCACAATATCGCTCAGCAGGGGGGGCGTGAACAACTCCTTGCTATGTTAAGGTGCAACCGAGAGATTTCGGACTCGGGTGGTGACCCGGCGACTTTGTATGGTCCATCCAACGCTGTCATCATGTCGGCGACGAACCTCAACAAAGCAGATCTTCTATCAATACCCAACTTTGCTCCGGCAGTTGTTGGTACGAGGTGCAGAGAGGAAGCGACAGGTTCTCCTGGAACACCGTCTTTCTTCAATACCTCCCATTCAAAAATGGCCTGGAGGCGAGGTAATATTCTTATGAATCTTGCAATAGATCAAGACGGGGGCCACTGGATTTCAGGGTCGTTCAACATCAGGACATGGAAACATATCGAAGAGATTTTGAAGGATCTCTGAGGGGAGATCGGCCACTTCTTGACTGAATTGTCGACGGGGAGGGCTTGGCGTGGGAAACAACTCATTGTATTTAGATCTCCAGAAGGGTCTCTTTTTCTATCCAAGGTCTCGTTATTGGTCCTATTTCTCTTGCTCTACCCTTGTTGCTATACATGCAGAATTGGTATAACAGAGGTCGATTGTTAGTTGTAGACTTCTTTTCTCTACCTCAATAGGTAGGAGTAATGGACGCGATGGAAAATCAAGGCATATATTTAATCAGACTCGTGAAAATGTTCAATGTGGTATTATGTTGAAGACCGAGGTACCTTCTTTTTTGGTGCGGAATTAAGGGTTGTTTGCTCATGGAAGGCGCGGCTTCTCACCGCCCAAGCTCCTTCATCCACCTTCCAATATCACCTGCCAGTCCCTCCCCGAGACTATCGTCATAGATACCGGCCTGCCAACTGACATCGATGCACAAACCGCCGTGTTCGACGCCCACCGCACTCACACCAAATGCACTTCCTGTCACCTCGGAACTCAAAGAAAATTGTCCCTGCTCGATCTGCCAGTTACTCGGCTCGTCGCTGGCTGCATTGGCTTCCGCATGGCCGCCCTTTAGCACCCCAATGTTGCTTAGCAGCCAGGCGTACTCCCTCGGTCTCTTGATCCTCTTCTTTTTCTCCGTCTCCCAGTCTGACACATACCTCAATAGGCCCATCATCTCGTTCTTGAGCCCACAGCTCAGCCTATCCTTGAGCTCTGTTCGGACGATCTTCGCTGCACTCCAGATCATCTCCTCTGTATCTGCCATCGTCGCTTTTTCCGCAAGAATCCGATCCCGAATCTTGCCCACGTACTTCTCGTCGAAATAATGCGGCATTACGCTAACAATATTAAGCAGCAGTTCGTGCGTTGAGACACCATCCGGCGTTACGGGCGCGAACCGCCTTAGGTCCAGTGCCGACTGTCCGGTAAACCCAGGGGCCTCCTCCCTTCCCAGCCGGCCAGCAAGCGACACCAAGCACATGGCGTGCATAAGAGCAGTGATTGTCGTTTCGTGTTCACGGCAGGCCTTCAGAAGCCGCTGCAGAGTTCCCGCATCTGCTCTATTCGTCCTGCGGCGCGTTGTTGCTGGGCCGGGCTTCAGGGGCGCCCAGTGTGCTAGCAATGTATCACGCATTGCCACCGGTACCGGCCGTTTCTCCTGCCACACCTGCTTCAGTAAAAAGGTGCCAGATAAGCTGAAGTCACATAGGTCGTTCATGGTGGGTGGGAAGGGTTGGCTGTTCTCCGGTCTGAGGTGGATTATGCGGCCCTCAAGCTCTTCTGGCTGAGGGGGTGATATGAGGTGCTTCAGAAGTAGCTCGTGGAAAAACTTTGCTCCATTACCGTCGGTAATAGTATGATGAAAGTCGAAATTGACTTCGAGGAAGTCGCCAAGCAATGGTTTGCAGATTGCCACGCGCCATCCGGGTACGGTTTCCAGCTCCTTGAACTTCTTGTCGACATTTTCTCTGATGCTGACCTCTTGCGCTTTTTGAAATTCCTCGTCAGGGATTTCTCGAAGCTCTAGATGATTTCCGAGATCGATCTTCTCAACGTGAAGGAAGACACTTCGCGTCGGCGATTCCGTCCGGACACCAACTTGCAGCATCGGCTGGTCGAGGACAATGCGAGCAACCGCCCGGTCGAAACGGGCTTGTAGAGCATCGAGTCCTGAAGGCAGACCTGGGGGTATGGAGTACCTGCAGTTCAAGCTCGTCCCGCAATACAGATCTTTCGAGTGCTGGCATTCCAGATAGCTCTCCCTTTGCGGTTTACGAATAAGCATTCGGTTAGGAGTGGGATGGGCAATTTAGCCAGTCTCAACTTACAGATGCCCGAGTTTTCTGAGAAGCCTCGGGTGCTCGGCGTATGATTTGGTCTTCTTTACCATGGTGGAAGGAAGTGTAGAGGAACAGTAAGAAATCTGTAAAACCCGCCGCAAATCTCCTCGTTTTATATTACAGCTGAGTGAGGATTGCTAGGGACTCCTGCAGATGCAAATGCCGAAGCCGAATGGTATCCAGCTTTCCCGAGCAAACTCTATTCCTACGCCGTTTTGCTACCGCCTTGTATAGTGCTGACTCGATACCTGATAGTCTCATTTCGCCTTCTATCGTAATAGACCTACATCAAAGTAGGCTTCGAATCAAACCAGCATCCGGCATTGGCTTCAGTATGCATCGCTGGGGGACAAGCTCAACTAAAAACTCAAGACTTGTGCAGGGTTCCGGTGCTCACGTCATCCCTATGCTAGATCTAATTTAAGTGTGCCTATTCGGATGGTTTCTCAGCAAAGTGTCCGGCTGGTGGAGTCATGGACTGTTCTTAATTTTACTTTTACTTGGCTTAGCTTATACATGCACTTGATATGTTCAGGGAGGCACTGTCACGAAACCAGGTGGTGCGTATTGTTCGAAGCCACTCGAAAACTATTAAATATTCTCCCGGAAAAAACAAAACGCGAAAACCATGCCCTGAAGCCGGGCCGCCAGCAGACCGGTCTTGTATTGATCTTCTGGATACTACTAGGTAGCATCCCCTCTCACTTCTCGTTGCCGTTGGTGTCGTCCTCGGCGAGGGAAAGTTCGGCCATCTCGTTGGCAATGATCTCGGCGAGGGACTCGCCGCCGGGGGGAGGAGGGTTGAGGGCGCTCCAGTGGTCCTCCTCGGGACCCTGGTCCAGCCAGCGCTGGATCGCGTAGCCGGCGTGGAGCTCGAACAAGCCGAGCACGGCCACGATGCTCACATCCCTATAATAGTCATGGAGAGTTAGCTTGTGATGCAGGCTGCAGGGAGGGTATGAACTGGGATGTCAACCTACCGCGGGAAGATGTGGCTGCTGATTTGGCCTGTTGAGGCCGACTTCACGAGACCAGTTGTTGGCATCATGGTGGTGGTGATGGTGGTGGTGATGGTGGTGGCTGTGGTGGTTGTGGTGGTTGTTGTTGTTGTTGTTGTGATGGTGTTGGTGGTGAGACTTTGGTGGTTGACTTAGAGAAAAGTTGGAGGAGAGGTAGGGGGGGACAGGAGAGGTGGGCGGCCGGGGACGAGGGAACCTGACGAGTCTACGCGTCTCTATCATAGTCAACAACCGCTTACAGCTGTCATGGCAGACTGCATTGTTTATTAGCACACACAATAGGGGGCATCCTTAGCTGAGCCGACTTTCACTCAAAGTTGATATTATTAATAACATGGGATCTGTATTGAAATTCTGTCACAATAAGAATCTTGGAAGGCAAATGCAGCTTTTATAAAGCATTTTTTGGCCTCGTAATGCTGGGACTTTGGCTATTCTGTATTCCTGGGACCAGTTTTGGGAGGCTTACTGTAACGACAACGAATCAATGGGCCATCCCCATCAATGCATTATAGTACTACTGCTGACTTTTAATGTCCTCATCGGATTACCTCCTGTATTCATTATCCAGTCAGTATAGCTTTGGACGACCGTCAAAGGAAGTGAAATATTTTGCTGGCAAGTAAGATTGCGGCATTATCAACAATACCTCTATAGCCATGAGCATGACATTCTAAATCCATTCATCACTTACTTTTCCCACATACAATAAAACAACATGGGCTGTGATGTGGGAGTTCCTAGAGCTCATTGATTACGAGGGGCTGCGTCGTCAACACACACGACTGCCAACGGTCGTCAGGTCACTCTTGTCCTTGTAACCTGACATGAGTCGATCCCACGTCGATCGGGCATCCTTCTTCGAGATCTTTCGCAGCTCACTCAGCGTCTTGCTCGGAGGCAAGGGCTCGTTCGAGGGAACGGTAGCGTTGACGGCAGCGGGGATTGGTTTGAACACAGTGGTATGGGCGACGGGTGGTGCGATGGACCCGTTGACTCGAGGCTGGAGTGGCCCACTACGGAGGCGGGGCTCACACGGGACAATAGTCAACGGCAGTTGTATGGATGGGAGTGATTCTAACATAGGCATGCTGCCCTCTCAAACAATGACAGCTACTCCAATGAAGATAAACCCACGCAATGCCATCATTCCCTTGCCCCATGGACGGGAATTGTAGAGGTGTCAAGCCCATCCATTAAATCATACCCCCGGTGTCTAATTCACGGACCATAGCTAGTAGCCTAATCATGGCGGGCGAGGAAGAGGAGTGGGCCAATTACGTACCCAGAAAGTGCCTAAGGCTTGAGTGAGTCACAAGTTGAGGGAGAAGGCACTACCTAGGTACCGTAGTCACGCCTTAATGATTTGGACAGGTACGTACCCGTGGGGCAGAATGTCCTGCACAGGACCGAGGGACTATGGTTGATTACTTGGATCAGCATTGGAAAGAGTGTGACTGCACAAATTCCAACAAGAAGTGGCCATCCTTGATTAATGACACTCCTTTACTACAAAGGACGACAAAATGAGGACGACTCTACGGGACAGGACAAGCCAGGGAAGGTGAAGGACGACAACGATAGGAGAAAGGATCGGCTGAGAAAGACCAACTTGACCCTTAGAAACCTACCATGACATGTAAGTATCGCCACGGTGGCCACAAGCACCTGACTCAAAAAATGCGATCAGGAACTTTTGACGGCCTCCAACCCGTCCTTGTTTCCTTCAGCCTCCGAGACATCAGAAAGAGGAACTTTAAGGACTACTATGAAGGCCTACCGACAGTGTTCGCAGCCTCAAGGGATAAAAATGGCCTGAACTACTGTGCAGTCCATGAAGGGCTAGTTTCTTGAGACATTAGATACAGGCACCGATGCCAGAGGCCACTGCTATGGACATGCCATTGGAGTACGGTCATAGTAGTCACTGTAGGGAGCTAGAGCCGTTGAGTTGTAATTCTATCAGATGCGGTTACCTGTTCATTCATGCATGCCTCCGTTCTGTTGATAACTCGTCCTAGAGTTCAGAGTGGGCAGGGCAACCGAGCACCAGATGTGACGCAATCAACCTAGCTCAGCATTCACATCTCGCCAGTCCTTACTACCATGCGAACCCAGCGATGCTTTAGGCAATTTGACTGCATAGCCCCGCTAGGGATCCTTCAAATGTGCTTGGAGAGTAACTGTAAACATGATTTTATCCGGTCCTTGCTCCCCTAAGGGGAAAGGGGCAGCAGCTAGGCAGGGCACTGTCTTGACCTTTGCCACTTTCCCAGAAGTTTCGTACCTTGAAACACAGTAAGTTGAGTTGGGGTGGCTGAGGCTTTCTGATGACGTTTGTTTACTTGAGTTCTACTTTATAAACATCTCTCATCTCCTGACCCTCCATCCTTTTCTATTCTCAACACATAACCATCTCAACTCCAGAGTGCACTCATCCCAAAACACCACATGGGTTGAGGCCCCCCGCCTCAGCCCATGCGAGCGCTCCCCTCCGTTCGGACCTCCGTTCGGAGGGGCCACAAGCAATCAAAGTAAGCCCAGCTCATAATGGTTGTGCCCTGGCATCTAGATACAGAGTCTGACAAGGTCACAGACAATCAGTGCTCGCAATCTCCTCTCCATCAACATCGGTATCATTATCATCCTTACCGGCATTCTTACCATCATTATTGGTATTTTCATTATCAATACACAGTATTATTCCCATAAGGCTGCCACATTGTTGGCAGCCGAGCACTGCCATCAGTCAACAAGACTGGAGCAAGAAGATTTTTCATCATTATGGGCATCTTTTGCCGCAAACATGACAACTGTCATTGTCAATATCATTAACGACATCACTATCATCATTGTCAGTATAACCACTCACCGCCATTTCCGGTAAAACCACTCTCTCTACTGGTTCTGTCATCAACTAACATGGCTGGCATAAAAGATTTATCATCACTACCGGCATCTTTACCGCGATCGACACCTCCATCTTCTCCGGCCACTCATCATTATCAACATCATTCACGACATCACTATCATCATTACCGGCTTTTAGGCACTGCCTCTCCGCGTGTCCGGGCACGAAGCCCCAAACCGTGAGCTTTTTCATTCCGGGCTCGGATAATCTGCACCCAGGAGCTGACAGAGCTATAGAAAAGGTGATTCCAGTATGGTGGCACGTTTGTCGGCATTATTATCACCAAGACATCATTGAAAAAATATCTATGATTATGATTATGAGAATCATTATCAATATTGATATTATCCAGCACATGCTGGTTGTGTAAGTCTCCAAATTCCTCGGTGGTGTTCGGATGGTTGTTGCCGGTGCTAAACCCAGCATGACTAGACACTATATCTTTATCCGCCAATCTTCAAGAACTTCGTAAGTGCTTCCGATACCATTGTTTCCTCGGGCGGCGGCTTTACTAAATTATCTATTTTGCGATAGTCAGCGATAGCGATATTCTTATCAATATGTTCACACGGTTGGAGGGAATGTGGGTTCAAGGCCGACCCGGTCTTGAACACAGTTTCACTATATTCGTTGTTGTAAGGCGTGCTCAAGGGCCCCAACAGTTGTCAACTTATTTGTTCTTGAGAAATAAATTTGTCGAGGAGGCTCCATAACATGTGGCCTCGTTCATGTAATATAATTAGATAGATCAAAACCAATATTAGTTAAACCAGTCTCCAGTTTCACGCTATGGTATTGCGACTTACTTGCTACTAGCATATCCCCAAGCCTTCACCAGCTACCATTCTTTGAGGGAAAAGAACCGCTATAAAGGAGATCAAAACTGTTAAGTACGATCCATGTACATGATATTCCACATAACAATTTCTCAACAAAGAGAAGCACTGTGTAAAGTGAGCTCGGAAGAGTCATTTCGCTGCACGGAAAAGGGGAATACGCCAAGCAGGACCGTCTGCGCAAAGAAGAAGTCACCTCATCTCTATGCGGCCCAGAAGCATCAAATAAGATAATGATTGTGCTGCTGTGAAACGGAATACTTGGACGGCTGACTAGAAATGGGGTACTAGAAAGGGGGTGAATGCTTCAACAACGTATGTTCGGAGACCTCACCAACTCTACTTGCATGTTTCCAGGCAAGGCAGATGGAACTCAAGCTCTATCACGGGCGTTGATCCTATGTATATCTCTGATCGATTTGCAAAATAATACGCTATGATCAACTTCAATAAGATACCCAAATGGGAAACGCATGTATCCTGAGCATTTCAAGCAAGCATTCCTCCATACTCCAGGAATACTCCAAGACCTTCTTGGTCTTCTATAGTCCAAGCCCTTTCTCATATTCTTTCCATTTCTCACCAATAGGCTGTATCAACGTATATGCCGCCGGGCTGTCAAACTCCTGAACGCCGTTCAAGAGATACAGCGGTGTCATCTGTCCATCCTCGCTGAAAAAGAGCTTCGGTCTTTCTCGTCTGTAGTACGTTATCTCCCCGCCGTCTGTAAACTGAACTGTCGTGTTGTAAGTCAACGTCAGATTTTCGTACTTCCACGGCCCACGCCAATCCCTTGCAAAAGCGTGCGCTCCGACCCTCGGACCCTTGAGCCCTAGCGGGATATCGACCATGTGATGTACAAGGAAGTGCCAGTGTCCGCGTTTATCCCTCCAAAGAAAGGGATCTTCGCTGCGGAGTGAGGGGTCGATTTCGATGTTGCCCGGCTCGACGGTAAGGTTGTAGGGGCCGGCATACCCAGTGGGGCTGTAGTATATGTTGTTCTTCTCGGCTGCGAGCAGCATTTCGCTCGTCGGGTTCTCGGGCGTCCACAGAGGCCACGCGGTGGGGTTCGTAACGTTGACGATCAGCGGGATCTTTTCGGTCCATGTCTTTAGGTCGGGGGAGGTGGAGACGGAGATCGTATTGTTCGTCTTCTTGGAGCCGCACGATGTAGGAGTCTCCCAGTCCTGGCCAATGAAGTGGATGAGATACTTTTCGTCGTATGGGCTCCAGACGACTGTTGGGTTGTGTCGAAAGGTATCGAAGAGATCCTGTGCCCAGGTGAACGGACCTCGAGGTCCGGTTCTCGATTCCGCTCGAATAACTTTACTGAAGGGCCGCCATGCCGAAAGACCACAGCCGTGTGTGAACTGTGAAATTATGAGGTGGAATAAAGAGGGATTGTTGCGGTCGTGGATAATCTGGCCGCCCCAGGAGGAATTGCCAGCCCCTTCCCGATAGAAGTCTGGGAGAGAGATGTTGGTGTAGTTGTACCCCGTCCAGCGATCAACTGGCTTCAGGTCAAGCTCACCACAGTTGTATCCACGCCAGCCGGGGTCGCAGATGCAGGTGTGGTTGCAGGAGCAAATACCGTTAAGGCTGCAGTCTTCCATGCTCTGGCAGCTGGCGGCAAAAACGGTTGCAACCAGGAGGCTTGCCGCCACTGCGCAGCCGTTTAAAACGGTTGGAACCCGCATGACGTCAGAAGATGGAAAAACTACGATATCCCTCCAAACAGATTAATAAGATTAGAATATTCGCTGGTTTCGATTTCTTTCATAATTATTTGCACTGGTGTTTTATAAAAAGGATCCGGCTAATTATGAAGATGGTGCTGTGTCTGCCCGGATGATTCCCAAGACCCCGGAAAAATCCAGCTCGGAGTATTTCAACCGCGAGACCCGAGGCAGGCAGCTAGAACGGCCGATAGCTTCTACTCGGGCTGTCAGAGGCCATCATCGATTCCATGGAAAGAGAGACGTATTGTGTGTAGTAGACACGAATACAAGGGATAGACCGTGGGTTGCAATTTCCGGTCAAAGCACTACTCAAATCTGGCCTTATGGCTTGGATTTTCCGAAGGTAGAACCAAAGTTCTATCGTTTTCATCCAAATAAACCATGCATATAAGCCTGCTAGACACAACCCCCGATCGAGGCCGATTTTGCGGGCTCTTTTACAATGTCTATGTCCTCTTTGCCCAGTACGATACCACTGCTTTGCCCTCCACTGAAAATGTAACCTGTTTGCAGCTTTCATAGAGGATGGCTGATTACCCGCCGTTCTTCTTGGTGTTCTCGGCCCTTTTTCTTATTGCCCGTTTCCGCAGACTCGCGTGTATTATAGTTCAAATGAGAAATCGCTTGTGTAGTCGCAGTTTCAGCTCCAGGTGGATGTGTTGTCTTGTGAACCACATCTTGAAAACTCAAGAGTGGGGTAGTCTTCGGCTCGAGCAGATGAGGTAAACGGAGCTGATGGGGTCGCGATACAACTGGCGAGCATCTGCTTCTTCCTTGTTGTTGAAGACGACATGCCCCCAGAAGGGTCCGAGACTAGATAGTCCTTCTCAACTGGCCTCGCAGCATGAGCTCCCAAGAGCATCTTCTTTACCACTTCTCAATGATGATAATGCTAGATGGGCGATCTTCTTCGACCGAAATCCGTTGCGGTCTCCCCCCGTACACTCCCTGAGCAGGATCTGGGAGCATTGCACGAGATGCCTAACGTCCCTTATGTACTACCTCAATGGTAATAGCAGCTTCGAGCCGCAATGATTGTCACGGACACCGAAGTCTGCGAAGTAGGTGTCGGGTCATGGTGGAGTGAGAACAGTGAGTCCAGCGTTTTCTGGCGCTTCGTGGAGCGGGGATTGTCATCCATTCGTTTGCGGCGGAGCGTTTAAGTGTCATCGTGAGAGCGGGTCACAGTTCGATGCGAACCTTCTTCGTTCAGATACTTAGCCCAGCATCTAGCAGTGTTGCCAGGAAGCTGATCGAAGGGACATCTATATCATCTTGGAGGATGATGTGGAAATTCTTTTCTATCCCAGAAGGACTTGAACCAAGGACCGGGGAGCCGTCGTCGCATACAAATGCCTAGTCCTAATAGTTTGCATTTATTAGCCGATAAGAATTTCTAGAGTATTTCAGAGGGGACCATAAACTAGTCGTATAGCTGTATCTTACCATGGAACGGTATCTGCTCGACAACCCCTACCTAAGCCTTGACGGAACAATGAAGATTTCCCGGATTTTCAGTAATTGCAATTTCGTTCAATGAATTGTGAAGTTACTGGGTGAGCACGGAAGGGATAAAACATTCAAATTTCTCAAATGATAAGCGTCGTCCGAGTACCATTGAGTCCCATTAAGGATGTAGATGGGCTTCGCCAGGATAGCACTGATGCGAATCTCCATGCTTGCTGCGCATGTTGGCTAGACACCCGAATCAGCATTGCGAAACTTGATCTCGACCGTATCGAAGTTGGAGTTGATCGAGGTTTCCAGAAGCTTAACCATAGTGATCATGCTCAGTTAACCCCAGCCGGTCTACTCCTTTGACCATCAGTCACAACTCTTAGCTTTTCTTTCCAATGTGAGGAATGGCTTCGATTGAAGTGACTCGATGGGCCGATGTGCTGGCACTACATTGTCTGTATGGCGGCAGCGCAGCCATCGCCTCGTTCTGGTCGCGGCTAGTCAATGTCTATCGAGTCCCTGACTATTGACTGATGAAATCGAATAGGAGACTATGGACAGCAGCGGCTTGGGGGTCGTGTGTGGTCCGGCCTGATGGCTGTTTCGTCGACATGACTCCCTTCAGTAGGTGCAGTAAAAAGAAAATAGGTGCAGCATGGATACGCTGTGTGCCTTCCAGAAATGTAGATGGTGATGAACGATGGAGTGTCTACCTCAGGCATCCAAGAGAAGGGCCGAGGTTTGGAAGGAAATGGCAGGTGGGACTAAATCGGCCGAAGGTGCGGGCCGATGGTCCTCCCGATTCCAACTGCGCCTAACCTATAGCTGTCCTGTCTCGCCAGAAACAGAAACATCGCTCACGTCGTCGAGATTGCAGGCCAACACTTCATTCTCTTTCGAGCCCGTATCAATGAGCAGGCACAATTCACCATAACAAATCCCCAAAATTGATTTAGCATTCGATCGCAGGCAAATAATGAAATACGCGTACACCATAGCGACCTCAAAAAATCGACACGAAGATGGTGGCTGAGAAATGTCAGTTGACGTCAAAAATGACTAGGCACCCTTTCTTGGCAGTGGCTTGGGGATTATTTGTTAACAGGCTGATACTTTGCGTGGCGATGTAAGAGCATCGCCTCCCTGCAGATCTTCAACCACCTATCTAATCAGCAAGCTCTTCTCTTCCAAGGCCAAGAACTCAACCCGACTTCACTCGTTTCCTCACTTCACGATCCGATACATGGTTCCATAATGCGTCTCCTCAATACGAGAACCCTGGAATTTGAATTATTCCTGGATCCCAAGACACGACCCGAATATGCGATCTTATCCCACACATGGGAAGACGAGGAAGTTACTTTTCAAGAATTCCAACGGCCCACAGGAGCCACCCAGAGCAAGGCAGGCTATACGAAAATCAAATTAGCATGCGAACAAGCACTCAAGCATGACTCGCAGTACGCTTGGGTTGATACCTGCTGCATAGACAAGTCAAGCAGCACTGAGCTTTCGGAGGCCATCAACTCCATGTTTCGATGGTACGAGGAGAGCAAAGTTTGCTTTGCATTTCTCATTGATGTGCAGCCAGGCGTGGATGCATACGATCCCGATTCGGCCTTTGCAACCTCGCGATGGTTTACTCGAGGCTGGACGTTACAGGAGCTTGTCGCGCCGAAACGGGTCGACTTTTTCAATAAGGACTGGAGATACATTGGCAGTCGTGACGAGCTAGCCGCCCCTATACAAAGAATCACATCAATAAACGAGTTCTACCTCGTTGATCACCATGAGTGGCCGTCCAGACAAAACCTACTTTGCACAGCCAGTGTTGCAGAGAGAATGAGCTGGGCTGCTAGACGGACGACGACCAGAGAGGAGGATGCTGCCTACTGTATGTTCGGCATGTTTGATATCAGCATGCCACTGGTACCCGGGGAAGGTGCTCGGGCCTTCCAGAGAATACAGGAAGAGATCTTAAAACATTCATTCGACCCCTCTCTTCTTGCATGGAATTTGGGTACCATGAGTGCACCACTCGATCCCGAATCAAAGGATAGCCATTCAACACATCGCTCCATTCTCCGGATGTTTATGGGCTTGCAGCACCCTTGGTACGCAGATACACTTCAGATCCGGGACGGCTGTCAACAACAGAGCTTTTTAGCTCCTAGTCTCCAATGTTTTCGGGATTCCGGGGATATCGAATCCGCAAGAATTGCCAGAGATTGGAAAACTACAAAAGGAGGATTGCGCATTCTACTTCCTAAATCGGAAGACAGGTGCCCTTATATCCTGTTACCATGCCACAAAAAGGCCACACCATGGGCGCTTCTTGCTATACCGGTTGTTTTCGACAGCAAAAGCCAGACTTATGCCAGATCCTCCCTTCCCGCGGTATGGGTTGATGTGGTAAACTGGCATCGATGGCCCCTCAAACAGATCATCCTTTCTGTTGGCACGAACATGAATCGCGGTAATTCACCACGGTCTTCAGGGGGCGAAGTACTGCTTCGACATCTTCCAGAAAATCTTAGACTCTTGGAATATAACGTTCATGGAAATTGGAAACCTAGACCCAGGACCAAAACACGATCTCAAGTCCTCCTATCATTATCTCTACCCGAATATGGATTTGGGATCATAGCCCTTGGCATTCAGAATGAGGATACCGGGAAAATAGTTACCGTCATCCTGAGATTTAGTGCTAAGAATAATAGTCTCAGCACTCCTCAACCTATGCTACTGGATACCTCAACAGAATGGCTGGATTCTTCTAAAATAGCCTGCTACAATCTTTTAGGGGCGTCAAAGACTGATATTTCTTGTTTCATGGAAAGTTTAAGAGCCAGTAGCAATGACACGGGGATGCATTCAGTCCTTGCTACCAACGGTTACTCGAAAAAACCTGAAAACGAATCTCTTGGTCTGAAAATGCTAGGACATTTACCAAATGGATCATCGACGGATACAACTTTAGCTGTTGATGTGACACAGGATTCGCTATTAGACCGTCCTGTTTATGACGTGCGGATCACTCAAGCCAACAAGCGGTTTTATGACCCAATCAGCCACATACTCCGCTTCGCATGGACCTTCACACAAATAAAGCTCCGCAAATGGATGTACCGGATGGGAGATTTCGTCCCGCTATTTTCATGGATCTTGTTTATCATCACCATATGCAGCATATCTGAAGGATTCATCAACCATCTCTCAGATACACCGAGCGTCTATTTCTCGACAAATACCATGAAGCAGGTTCTGACACAGGGGCCCTCGTGCGCCATGGCCTATGTGGTCATGTATAACATTCTCCCCATTTCTTGTTACCTATTCCCACGGTCCTCGCAGTTGATCTACCAAGCGCGGTGGCTCTTGGCTATACCATTAGGGCTAATAATACTCAGAGACCAGCAACTCACCCTTACCTACCTGGCGTTTGTGTATTTCCCTTGGAACCCGATCACCATCAGAGATCACAAGCATCCTTCCACCATGAAGGTTTACGCTCGAAATCTAATCGAGTTTCTGAAGTCAAACTATATCATGATGTTTTATGTCTTAGGTTTCCAATTCGGAGCTACCACAACTAAGCAAATCATTGCGGCTCGTGCCTTGCTTCTCCCCCCTTTGCTTGGCGTCTTTCTCTACATCAAATATCGGATAATCCTCCCTTTTTTGACATTCATAAGTGAATAAAGTTAGGAATTCCGTCTATCATGATTTCTCCGCATGACGACTTGGATGTGGCAGGGAATGTTTACAGCAGCGCAGGCGGAACTCAACCCAGGCATGCGTTCTGCTACGTGTCATAGATTTTCTACTTTAATAGGAAGTTTACAATCTCCTTCCCGAAATGCGACGTCACACTGGCCAGATGCCCCTGTTACGTTCAAGAACAGCACTATGCAGCGACAGAGAGGGTGGTCAGCTCACTAGTACGTTAACAAACATGACCAGGGTCTCGCCGACTTTTCGAGGCGCTGTTTGGGTACGGCTATCATTCGAAATCGACGAATTTGTCTCGGAAGTCATCCTAGGGATGAATGAAGACGGCAAAAAAAAAATCGGCTTCATTCCAGCCTGCGCTGTGTCTTTAGGATACGTTGGTACGAGCCTGTCTAGCCAACACCCTTGCAAGCCAAGCAGTCGCCGATAGAAAGAGCTATGATGATGCAGGAAACTCTATTGGGATGAATTGCTTAGCGAGCAGTACTATCTTGATATGTAGCGCAACGCTGACCGAGTAGATCTTTTTCATTGGCATTAGTTGATCTGTTTTCACTGACTGCTTTACTAGGATGACCAACCAACATCACGCTAAGACGTTATCTTACTACCATGGAGGACCCAAGTAGTAAGAGCTGACATATGGCTTGGCATGTATTAAGAGAACGAACGACTTTACCCGAGCCCCTCAGGGTGGTAGTTGGAGTGGAGATGATTTTGTCTTACAAGCGTTAATCTCGACCTCACAGCATGCTTATAGATCTTTTCCCGCCTACCTAGGACTTACATATTCATACATCACTTTGACATTACAGTCATCGGGTTACCGAACTCTGGTAGAGGTCATAAGTCAGAAGCAACCTTGAGAACCTTCTCTACATCGAAGTATTCCTCGATGTTCTCATCTTCTATACCAAGTCTGGAGGGCGCGTGGGCCTACATCTCACTCAGTAACGCTCTTCTTGTCCTTGCATTATGGCTCGGGCACCGAGTGGTCCTCGCACTTTATAATATCTCTCCACTCCATCCCCTATACAGTATTCCTGGACCAAAGCTGGCCGCGGCCTCGTATCTTTATGAGGCATGGTACGACTTAATCAAGGTTGGAAGATATTCCTGGGAGATCAAAGCTATGCACGAGAAATACGGTATGTGATTACAAAAGGATCTCATTTGGAAAATAAATCTAACCTTTGAAAGGACCAATTGTACGCATAAACCCGGATGAGGTTCACTGTGATGACTACAGCTTTGTCGAAGAGATATATCCGTCCGTTGGAAACCGTATACGTGACAAGCAGCCGCATTTTCTTGCAGCGTTCGCTGGACCACTTACCGAATCTTCATTTGCAACACAATACCATGAAGTATGTCTTCCTAAACCAACCCTTCCCCTTTCATAGTTGACAAAGTTCGAAGCACCATCGTATCCGAAGGAGCGCCATCAGCAAATTCTTCTCTCGGCAGGGGATGCTCAAGTATGAGCCAGAGGTTCACGAACTGGCGCAGAAAATGTGCACCAAGCTTCTGAGATTGACGGAATCCGGCCAAACTATGAACGTCGCGGATCCATTTAATTGCTTCACAGCTGATACCATCTCTCAGTACTGCTTTGGAGAGTCATTTGGTTATCCTACTTGAAACCCTTCAATGATCGCATCGTAGCTAATAGTCAATCTTGGCAGGATTTCTCGATAGACCTGATTTCGAACGAAGTTTCAAGAAAGCATTTGAAGTGATTGTCAACACTAGCCATGTCTTCCGTCACTTTCCAATCCTGCGGCACCTAATCGGCCTAATGCCTGCAATTGGCCCATACCTGGGATCTGACATTGCCTTCATGGTCGAGTCCATGAACGAGACCATCCCCAACCATATCATCCGAGCGCAGCAGCAAAAGTCTACCAGTAGCCCGCGCATCTTTACCGAGATCATGGATTCACCAATTCCGGATAAGGAAAAGACTATATATCGCCTTTCTGGCGAGGGCTGGTCCTTGGTTACTGCCGGCTCCGAGACCACGGCTGTAAGCACACACTAAATCGCCGGCGGCACGACTTACACTAACGAATATCTAGTCGACGCTGTGCGCCATCACATACTTTCTCTTGTCTCAGCCCGAGAAGCTCGCACGTCTGAGGGAGGAGCTCAAAGATGAAGATCCTCACAAGCTCAGCTGGGTTCAGTTGGAGAAGTATCCATACCTGCATGGAGTCGTATTTGAGACATTGCGCGTTGCCTTGGGCGTTCCCGTCCGCACCACGCGCATTGCCCGTGAGGAAGACCTCGTATACAACAACCGAGGATTCAGCTATGTCATCCCCCGAGGAACCACGATCGGGATGAGCGCTTTCATCAGTCATAACAAGGAGGATATCTTTCCCGATCCGGATAAATATGAACCAGAACGATGGATCACCGCGCAGGGAAAGCCGGACTACGGGATGGAGAAGTACATCATGTCCTTTTCTAAGGGATCACGCCAATGTATTGGCATGAAGTAAGTGCGCATGACGAGAGTTGTCAGATGAACTTTGCTAACATGGACGGATAGCCTTGCATTCTGCGAGATATACCTAGCCACCGCAGTCATGGCCCTTCGAGCTCTACCGCATCTGAAGCTTCATGACACTGTTTATGAGGATATCAAGTACGATCACGATGCTATCACTCCACAGCCTAAGAAAGGAGCTCGGGGGGTTAGGGTCAAAGCCGCAGATGCGCATACGCATTGAAAGAAGGGTCAGAGTGGTCTGACGTATTGGTCCAGCGGAGCCAAGTTCATGTGAAATAACGAAATTACAGTCAATAGTCCTGGGTCTGTCACCAAATGATATCTCTTGTTGGATCCTTTTTCTTTAGAATGGGAGGCGAAAGTCGCAATCGACGATCTCTGAGTAACTAACGTAGCATTATTGCAAAAGCCAATGACAAGTGTAGATGTTTGGGAACAGGGTAGAACCTTCGATATAGGGTATCCAAAATTACAGATGGAAATTCAACATCACAGCCAAGTGATGTATGCAACGGGAGTCGGATAACAATCCCAGATCAAGTTGGTGGCCTCTAAGTTCAAGTACTTGTGGCCGTAAACGATCCATGATACCACGTTAGTAGCAATTGCATGCAGGGATAAAAAGAGAGAAATGTTAGGTGGTGACTGCTTAGCTCTCTTGTTCGCTGAGCCATTGATTACGAGCTCATTCCAGCAAATATTGTACTTTCACAGCTACAACAAGAAACGAGCACAATTTCAAAATCAAAACATGCAAAGGAAGGATAATTACGTAAACATTGTACGTAATTGCAATTAGATCTGGGCTCCTAGCTATTGGTGCCCCAGTTGCAGCTGCTGACGGACCGTTGACAGTAGGCAAACCTCCAAGTCACCCCCTACCTGTGTTTTTGTATCGGATTATTTACGGCTCTCTTCCTCTTTCCAAATGGTTCCATCCTCCATTAAAGTACCACTGGATCAAAAATACCACGTGATTACGAAATTCAGTGAAATGGAGTGTAAGCAGATATCAGCGATATGATGACCATCTGCAGATGTAGGAATATGTCTTCCGGGATAGATAACATAGGGGGCTTCAGGACGAAGGGATTCTTCATTCAGGGCACAATGCAATGAAAAGTGGCCACAAATTCAGATGCTAGAGTTACTTGTCCTGCTACAGAAATGCACAGCTACTGTCAACTGGTGCCGCCGTGCCCTAGGAACCACAAAAGTAAACAACGTAGTTGTAGTTCCAGGGCATCCTGGGTGCTTCTCAGTGATTAAGGTACGTAAAAATGCCACCTGAAAGGCTGGGTTTCTGGTCTGTCAGTGATTTGCTTATCTCTTATCCTGAGGACGAAGTGAGGACTGCCCTCGCCCACGGCCCCTCCCCAATAACAAGTACAACGCGTGATCTTCTCCCTGTCCCAAGTTTCTCTTCAACCACAACATTCATCAAAAATGTTGACGACACGAAAGAAGATCCTTGATAGCGTCCCCCGCTATCGAGCCGTCCTGTAAGTAACTTTACTTTCATCATCTTTTCTCAATCTCCTGATAACTAACACCTCATTCTCCCCGGTAGGCAAGACGAGCCCGAGTTTTTTTCGGTTGGGCACGACGTTGGGATCCCCTTCGTACTCACTGATCATATGGGAGGTGAGAAGGATGTAGCCGTTCTCGCCTGTGGCATCGGGGACGCAAGGCTCCTCTATGCCACCATCGTCTTCGCGGGCATTGTGGCGCCCAAGACCAAGAAGTTGCACTTCACGCTCGTGGACGTGAAGCCCATCGTCTTTGCTCGGGATCTGGTCGTCTTCCACATGCTGGCGGCAATGCAGACCCAGGAAGATGAGAAGAAACAGGAAACAAGCTGGGCCATAGCCTACGTGTTTGCCGGTCAGGTCATGCCGCCCTGGGCTTCTGACATCCTCCATGAGAGCATTTCGGCTCTCATCACCGCCTTAGAAGATACATCCAGCAACGTTATGGACCTCTTCTATATTTCTGAACCTGCCCGCAACAAAATCATCCACGTCCTGAAGCAGTGGCGTGAGCCTCCTGTGGAGACCTACACTACCGCTGCCATCAGACAAATGATTGTAGAGCAGTCGGATGCCCAGGGTGAAGCCTTCGCCAAGGCTGAGGATGAACCACCCAGTCCCAAGACTCCTCCCGGCTGCCTAAGTACAGACAGTGACGCGCGACTCTTCAACGACATTCATGTCACTCTGCCCTCGGTGCCTCTTCTTGAGAGGCATGAGCCTGAGCTCCTCCTCCTTTCTAGAGCGTATAATGAGAGTAACAGTCCCTCTGACCGAAAGGCACTGGACGACTATATCAACTCCACCTGGAAGCCTAATGTCACCGTCGTCGATTTCGATTTCGAACTTAAATCCGAGGCTCGCGGAACGATGTCAGGGCAGCCTTTCTTCAACTGGTCCCCTTGTGACGTTGCTTTGCATCTTTTCATGATCCTACCACACCAGCTTTTCTTCTCCAATCCCGGCGTGTTTGAACACATCTCCGCCTTCTTTCGCTTGGTCTCGTCCAGACTCAAGCAACTCCGCGACCAGATTGTCATCGAAATGGTTACGGGCGAGATGAATGACACATTTGAACGTCTGCGATACGGGCTCCTCCGGTTTGGGCAAAAGGCTATTGGAAACCTGGACCCGATCAAGTTCCCAAGCAGATTCGACAAGATCGATATGAGCAACATCCCGTAAGCCCTCCACATCTCTCAGGACCAAGCATCAACTAACCCCGTGCTTCTTAGTGACTACGTCGGTGGCTCCTTCACGTCTTTCATCCACGGCATACCACTCCTCCGAGAGAATCACCGATCCCTCATGAGGTCCTACGTACTTCGAAACCTTCATGCCTGGGACTCCCACGATATATTTCTAGCGGAGTATCTTGCCCTCGGCGAACGCGAGGTGATCAAGTCCCATTTCCGGACATCTCTTACGGATGTCTCTGTGCGCCATGAACTTGCCAACGCAGGCAAGACCTCACCCAATGGAAGTACAGCCATGGGCACCGCATTGGAGTGGCAGCGCACCGTGCCACTCTCATCGCATATGCCCGTCGCAGACCGCATGTCACGGCGCAGACTCAACAGGTGGCTCCATTCTCACTTCCTCAAGCTCTGCCTGCCGGCTTTCCGCTACCGACCCTCGAGCTTGGGTGTGAGCGCCCCTCTGAACCTGACGTCCTTCCTCCATCTCGTCGCCCACGTCACCTCACTCGGCTATCCTCACGCGTGGATCTCTCACGTTCTGCGTGAGCTGTGCACCGGCTTGTTGACTCGGACTCAAGCCGCCCCTCCCGTCGACGAGATTACGGACGATGGCCTGGCCGAGTGTACATTTGACCCTGTAAAGTTCTCCGTCGCTCCTTTTGCGGCAGAGTTTCGAACCCTCGTCGCAATCTGGGAGCCGCTGCTTGACGTGCAACTGGACTGGAATACTACCGTCGCCGGCAAGAAGCTCCTCCCGGAGGGCAAGGCCATTCGAAAGTTCACCATTCGCTTCCCCAAGGAACCTATCAAGACTAAAGGCTTGCTGGAAGTCGCCTGCTTCTCTCTCGTTTTGAAGAAGAAGTCGTTCAAGGCTCCGGCCCGCACCCTCAGAGCTTTCCTGGACGACCGGATGGAACAAGGTCCTAAGCTCCCCGATGCCAATCGTATCCGAAGAGAGCCTTACGTACACATGATCTCGGCATGCAAGTTCACGCCTGAGACGTACGAGGTGGAGTTTTGGCTCGACGAGAGAGAGGTGGACTGCCTTGTCGCCGAGACTGGCTGGGAGGCGTGGATCTGGCGCACTGATGTGTGGGACTCGGTCATGGGTCCTGTTTCTCTTGACAGCTATGGTGACTTGGTCAAGGGCGAAGCTTGGTCCGAGTCGACCTGAGCAACGAACAAGACTCACTGGATGCGGAGAGATGAGTGATTTACGAGAAGAGTAACTCTGTTGAGGAGAGAAATTCGGAATGGCGTATCGAACGGAATGCTGAAGACATGGACGACTAAAAATGATGCTTGATGTTTTGCGTGGAAGAAAGTTTACATCGTCTAGAGGGCTATGGCGTTGTGATAATGAGGGTTACGTCCAGAGAAGATCAAAGGATGGATGTTATTGAGTGCGCTATACAGAGATCCCGATGCGGAAGTCTTTAGGTCCTGGTTAATTCCATAGGGTGAACGAGACCGCGAAGCTCCAATAAATCGATCCAAGAAAAGAAATTCAGACTGATGATACACGTACATGTCCTCTACTACAAGCTCGACTGAACGACCTCTGTTCCTCTGTAGCTGTCCTGATTACCTTATGTTCAACATCATCACGGCCCATCTGCATAATCTTTAGTTGAAAGACCAAGAACCGGCTTGCATTGTTGTACTGTAAAATGTATAACCCTAACCCAATCTATAAAGACGCCATCTATGCCATAACCAAACACATGATATCGTGAATACTCAAAATGTTCAAGGCCACTTGTTCTTGTCGTAAACGATGTCACAGCTCACAGACTTCTGACCAGTGGCAGCCTTGATAGCCTTGGCCACCATGGCCCCGGTACACTGCGCGCGGACCTCGAACTTCCACTTCTTCACTTGCGGGTCATTGATGTCGTGCTTGCATTCTTTGACGATGAGAAGGCCGCAGTTCAGGTTCACCGCCTTGCCCTTCTCCTCCAGCTTGGGGCAGAGGCCGTCAACGGTCATGAAGGGCTCGCGGATGCGAGCCTCGTAGGTCCAGACGAAGGGGACGTCCGAGTAGTATTTGCAGGCCGTGGTGCCAATGTCGGCAGGGATCTGGCCGCGCGTGGAGAGGTCTACATTGGTAGATGTGCTCAGGGGGGCGGCGGCGGCTAGAGGATCCAAGGCCGCGAGGAGGGCGAAGGAGAGAGAAGCGAGGCTCAGGCGCATCTTCGAGGATGTGCGTTCACCTGGGTGATTGTGGTGGGAAAATAGGTGTCAGAGAGACTGAATGTAGACAGATGAGGGGAGCTGGTATTCGCGTTCTTTGATGAGTCGCTGAACACTGATGCTTAATAACAGAGGATATAGAAATTCATTGGATACCGGCATCATGGCCATCTTATACTTGATGCCGTAAGGAAAGAAGAGAGGAGGTGCCATGTTTCAGGCACAATGATGAAGCCAGTGTCTCGGTTTCAAATTAAGCTTTGGGCAGCACTAAACCCCAAAACGGCAGTTTGGGATTTAGCGTCCATTTAATTCGGTCCAACCTTCTCGTTCGGTAAAAGTTGGTGGCAAAATTGGGAAATGCTGGATCGAACAGCTCCAGACTGTTGGGAATCAGTCAAGCTTTCAGCTGCTGGGAGCAGCAGGCAGCAACATACAGCCGGCCCACCCGTACGTGCGTGTTTCACGCCATGTCGGTATCGAATTGACCACTACTGCCCTTGAGCCAGGATAAACCGCCCAGGGTCCTACGGTACTTGCCGAGAGACTGCCCGAAAGGACTCTTCAACATACCAGGTGCCAAATTCCTATCTACTCAAACGAAATCTACTTAAAAGAAGGACAAGGAAATGAGTGCATGTTAACAGGGACTGTATGGAGTCAGGCTCCGCCCTGTGTGATCAAGTTTTTGGCTGACTTGCTTCTATGTACTTTTACGACATCCTGGGATGAACACACTCTCCTCACTCATATACGGTTAGATTTGGTAGAAGCCTTATGCTTCTGGACCGATACTTTCTTGAGTATTCTCATAATTTATCTTTTACCATGCCAGATCAATTCATTCCATCACTTTGCATCTAATTCCTCCCTTGTTTGGCGTTCTATGAAAACAGAGAATCAGTGTAGGGTAGTCTATTTTCAAGTGCCGGCCGCTGGCGCACGGCTTGGGCGGGACTCAAATTACGGAGAACGGGCCATATTGTGGGCCTCGGAAAACTGCCACTTGAGTTCAATTCCGCGTTAAGTTCTAGAACAAAGGAATTTGCCAAGCCAGGTCCTTCAACACCCTTGCAAACCCCACATCTACTTCTCTTGGTACACCTCAACACCCTCTGGAATTCATACTCCATGTCTACATCAAGAGTCATCAATAGGTCTCGCAACAGCGGTCATCGAAGCCTTCAATGTCCTAAATGACAAGTTCAACGACAAGCATCGTTTGTGAGAACCTCAGTGCATCGATTATCGCTACACACATCCCAGCAATCCTGCCCCGGGCGTACCATGACACGGTGCGTCTGGTCCCCAAACGAATTGACCCACGAGAAATGAAACTGCTTGCTCGTGTCCGTATCACTCACCCCCGACGCCTTGTACCCGGCCTGGCAGAAGCAGTATGCATTTCCAAAGTTTGGAGCCCCGTTCGACGGATTGAATATCTCGCAGGTAGCTCGACCGCCGCATTGGATGGGAAGGCCAGGCGTGCAAGTTGGAGCACAGGTCGGGTTGGGCCCCGAGGGACACTCTCGTGCACTACCGAGACCCTGACGTGCAGCCGTGAGGAGAAACTCCATGTATCCCGCGCCAATCTCACGAGTGTTCAGGTGGAAGTTGTCCGTGGTTGGGTAGAACTCGCATGGCGGCGCTTCCGGGAAGCCGAATTCGATCGTGAAGCCGTAGATCAAGCTCTTGGCACTATTGACAATATGTCGTGAGAAAGCGTAGTCGTCCACCGAGCCTGATGTTGGGTACAAGCTGTTGGACTCCTTGGCATCATAGTGACGAGGAGGGTTTGCGACTCCTGCCATTCCACTTGCGACATGGGTCGCGGCGATTATTGATGCGTCCCAGTCGGGGAATGAAACATATTCTCTGTACTCTTAACCGGGAGTGTCTGGGATTTTGCCCCTCTTGCCGTTGTAGGCAGGATTGGTGAATGTTTGGCTGGGGTCAAATGCCTGGTTCTGATCTGATCCCCAGGGGTACAGGACGAGCCCCGAGAAGGAGTGTAGATCGACAAACCAACGAAGCTTGGTGAACTTATCCATGAGCCATCTGACATTGCGAGTCTCTGGTTCGGAAAAGGGGGCTGTGCCATGATAGGTCTCAGCGTTGACATTGGATGTTCCCGTGGTGCTAGAGATCCCGGGGTAAAACGCCGTGTTCACATCCCAAAGAAAGTCAAAGTTGCGATTGAGGTCAACAGGATTGGTGGGATTCCGATTCTTCCGCCAACAAGAGTCTGTTGTTTGGTCATAGCGCACACCGTCAGGATTGACAAGAGGTAGGAAGACAATGCCAGTGGATAAGGCAGTCTTGACATCGCAATTGGTATACTTCTTACCCCCATATGTCAAGCCCGTGCCCTCTCTCTGGGCCCAGAGAAGGTCAGAGATGAAGTATATGAGGCCGTCAGGACCTCCACGCTCTCGGGCATGTATCCCAGCCTCGAGAAACATGCGGAACGATTCATCGCAGCTAAGGCCATTTGGAACCTTGACTCCGAGCATCTGGCGACCTTCGTGCGTGGCCTCGGGCATAATGAAGATTTCTAAGCCAAATTCATTGACAAGGCCCTTTACGGCTGAGGTGATTTCATCAACGTTCATAACACTGCTGATGATAGTGCCATATGGCTGAGATCCAAGGCCTCTTGGAGCAATAGTTCAGCCGGCAAATCGGTCAGTTGTACTGACGGGATGTCTGGGAACTCTGCCAAAAACATGGCTGCGATCATAAATGTCGGTTTCGCCACCTGTTTTGTTCTGGGTAAGGCAGCCCATCACGGACTAGATGAGAAAGAACATTGGCAGGATGAAGCGCGCCATTGCTTTTGAATGGTGAGATAGTTGAACGTAGTCTTTTATTCTTGTCTTTGCAAAAAGCTGTGTTGATCGAGCTGCTGTTACTTCCCAATCTCTGGGACATAGCCTGCTATTTTTAATCTAATCTAAAATAAAACCCTTTTCTCACATATCAACAACTCCAATGTAAGAGGCAGTGCTGGATTCACTCTTAACTAGCTTTCAAGATCATACTCAGTTCGGAGCCAACCTTCGTTTACATCGTTTATGCTTGTCGAACACGAGTGAGCGCCAGGAGACTACGATGGCAGCCACGAAAGAGTGTATCGACCATTTCCATTGATTGAATGTTAGAAAGAAGCTCTATTTATTCCAGGGCTGAGCTTCGCCACGATATGAGCAGCTGACGCATTTGCTGTCATGGACGCTGCCTCCTGATTGGGCGCCTCCCCGCTCTCCAACTTCCGACTCACAACCCAACGCATCTGTCTTATCTCGTATTAGGAAAGCCACATGTTAGGCTGCTTCTATCAAGTACTGAGATAGGGTTACTTCGTTGCCTTCACCGTAATCTGGTAATTGATTTGCTTCAGCTTTGTTTCTAAGTTTACGCGAGAGCTAGCAGAAGCACACGTCACATGTAAGGATATCATCGAAGTTTGGATATCAATGGATCAGTAAACACCATACGTTCAATTCATGATCGAGAACCTAGAGTTCAATTGGGTCCCTAAAGTCAAGCCTTTCCTTCTTCCCTTCAAGTGCGGTCTTCAAACCCCCTGTCATTATTTGCCGCATCTGTAGATTATGCCCCTGCAAGCATAAAACTATTTCTTGATTCTCATCCCGTACCACGCATCTGTCCATTGTTGCCGCATCTGTAAAGTACGCCCCTGCAAGCGCAAAACCCATGTTCTTAATATTCATCCCGTACCACGCATCTGTCCATTGTGTTTCAGTCCGGAAGAAAAGTACCAGCGCCGTGGGCTTCAAGCTCCTCCAGCCGCCATAGCCTCCAATAATTCCTCAATCTTCTTCTTCCTTGGGTCGTCATGAGCCACGCGGATCCATTGTGCTTTGCACCAACCATCGATATCCCGGAAGACATCTCCGTAGAGCAGTTTCAACACAGCTCCAATCAATCCGAGAACTTCTGCCCTGGACAGTCCGTCGGCGAGCCCAAGCTGAAAACGACGCGCAAGGTCATCTGACGAAGAGAACTTGATTAATTCCTGGTTACCAGTGGCTCGGATCATGCTGGCCAACATGTGGTCGCCAGTACCTAGTCCAGGTGTACCGCCGTACAACTGTCCAATATTAGCTGTAAGGAGACTTGGGCCAAAAGCCTCCTCTGCCGGGACGAATCTGGCAAGTTGCCAATTGACAATCGACCTGATGTTGTAGTCTCTATCCACGAGGATATGGTCCCCCGTGTCATCGATATGCTTCAGCCAAAATCTTGGACCAGATCGCTTCGCTAGGACCGGGGCAGCTCTCTCTTTGAGCAGCTTGTAGAAAACATAGGCCTCCCTGGCGTACTCGGGGTAAAGTTGTCCATCAGCGATAAGCTGGAGATGCCACTCTGCTATTGAGGTAAAGTATTCGAGAGGCGTACGGAAAGGTCCATGTCTGCCGAGGTGAGTGAACCTGTCGCTAGCTATGGCGTCATCAACATTGTAGTCCTCCTTCTTGTTCTCTGTGTGGGCGAGAGAAGAAGCATATCCGCGAGGTGTCTGGTACTGAATTGTCGCGAGGATCTTTGCATATTGGTCGTAGACCTTGAGCTTCTGCTCAAGAGTTGCCTTGGACGCGTCGAAAGGTTTGCCTGGCACGACACACAGGAAGATGTAACTGACGCCCACGAGGTTGGATGGGTCACTGGCAAGACCGTACCCGTAGCATCTGGGAGCAGGTATGCCAGCCTTCCAAAGCCACTTGAGGGTCGCATACTCGTTTTGGATAAAGGAGTCGACCAGGTCCACCGGGAGGTGGCTGAGGGCCGTGATGCGAGGAATGCGAACATGCCATGCCTGGCCGCCCTCGAAACGGATCCAGGCATCGAGGTTGATGCCCTTGATGGTGGCCTTGCGTTGGCCAAGGTTTTCAGTGGAAAACCGGCACGGTCTTCCACCGGACAGAGCGCTCGCCGCTCGACACAACTCGGCCACGTTGACTCGGGCCAGGAGTGCCTGGACTTCGTTGTCGAAGTCCTCCTCCGGCGTGGAGTCGTCGGGCTATATTCGTGTTAGCTTTTGAAGGAGGGTGTGAGCCACAATTGCAGAGCATACCTGGCTGGTGCCGGGGCAGGTGTGCTGTCCTGGGAGCATGTGGACAGCACACATTGGCCTCTCGCAAGAGGCACAATTCCTGCCCCGGACGCTTGGTCTCGCGCACCCGAGGAAAGAGCAGTCGGCAAATCTTGGGATCATCTTGTGATCCTTGTGGTGGTGTGGTGGTTGTGGTGTTGTTGTTGTTGTTGCTGCTGCTGCTCTTGAGAGGGGGAGGATTTGGTAATTTTATGGGCGGCAGAAGGGCTTATAACTACTCGGTCAGGGCCAAAATCACTCAGCCATCATTAATGTACATTTATTGTCCCTTTGAGCTGTGTATTGTTGGCTACCTTACGCTGAAAATTTTGTGAGAACTAGCCCTATGCCAGCACAATTTGGGCGAGGGGTGGCCTCAGTGCGTCAATGCCTCAAGCATCAGACCAATTTTTTACGATAAGAATATTATTCAAGCACTCTATCGCACAATGCAGATTTTACTATGAATTGACTCGATTTTCAGTGGCCAAATTGGGTACATGAGAGTGAAAGGCTCGAGGGATGACTCGAAGCTTTCACCGTTATGAGGGGATTTCCCCCATTTCGCCCTTAAAGGAGAATGAATCACAATTCATACCCCTCTCGAGACTATGTTGAATTATTATCTCCTTATTCATTTCTAGATGCTATGGAAGATGTGTAGGTAGGTATTCTTTGGTTCAATACGTTGTGGTATGGCGAGCCTGTGGGTGGGTCCGACTCTCCGCTCTCGAGAGCTGCAAGTTGAAACAGCTGCCAGTAACTGTAACGGTGCCATCTTAGCCCTGACTGTGCACTGAACCAGTCCATGTAGAGTGTCTTACCCCCACAGCCGTCAGTGCAGTGCCGTGTTTACCTACGTTCCTCCGGGCCCCAAGCCATCCTCACCCCCTCTGCTCTCTACAGCGCTACGCTACGAAAAAGGCTAACCTCCCGTGGTACGCAAAGCATCAGAAGTTTTAGGTACAATGTTTCTTTTTTTTTTAATTTTGATATCAATCCTAGTTTCACTTCTGGCATTCTACTTACAAGTGACCCCATAGCATCCTTGATCCGACCGCTGCTTCTATACTTAGCACCCTTGAGTCAACAAACCTAGACCAAGTACAAAGGAAAGAAGAGAACGCATTCTCCCACCACCCAACTAAAGGCCTTGCCGCAATCTTTGTGGCAACCTACTCCACTTCTGACGAAGAAGAAGAAGGAGAAGGCGAAGGCGAAGAGGGTGCAGAAAAATCCGACCAGAAGAGCCCCGGCAAAGAGTTTCCCATCTCAATCCAAAACTACGGCCCCCGTTTGGGCCAAATCGTGCACGTGACAAAAAGAATAAAACGCCCTACTGGAGAGTGCGTTTCAACCGCAAGCAGGAGCGAGGTCGCATGGAATCACTCTCAATTATGGTACTTGACCATGTCATGCATGATTTCAGGGACGTCAAGAATCCTGAATATATTCTCAGATCAATGAATAGAAACAACCCTGCAGACGACTCGGTGCCCACTCACGTACAATCATGGCATGTGCTCAGGAAAGGGAGAACCTGGCAGAACAATGCAGTGCTAAACACAACCTAGCCGACAACTTCATACACGCGATGATGAAAGCGCGGAATATTCTGAAGGAATGTACCCTTGAGGATCAAATCAATTACGTTGGGGTTTAGTATAAAATCCATTGTGTGCTTATTTTTTGCTATTATTCCTCCGATATCCATTAGGCCCCCCCCTCTGACTCTGGCATCCGTACCTCGACACCAACCTCGACTTTGAACTTGCCAATGATTTTGGGTTTATTTCCTTTGAAAAGACCTTCGGATGCAGGTTAGAATATGAGGCTGAATCCAACGGACTGTCGAGGGGAACCGGATTATACCTACATGACAGATGCTACCTCAATATAGAAGTTCTCGAGTGAACTTCGAAAGGAGGACCATCGATCTTCAAGTCCATGAGACCAGTCTTGGCGAAATCTTGAAGTTGGAGTGTGTCAAAACACTTTGCCTTGATGAAGCGTGCCAATCTTGGCGAAGGTTTTCTTCCAAGGCGTAGGCGGTTCAATCAGGGGCTCTGCCCAATGTCGATTGACTGTGATGACCTCAGTGCGCAGTCTGTTCATGTCACCGAAATCGCGGAATGCGATAAGCACCCGTGTTCAGCCAGGAATCTTCTTCACTACACAAGCATCGGGGCAAGTTCAACTCGACCCTCCGGATGGTCTTGTCGCTGGTTTTATCTTGGCCTCGGATGATGTGGATCAGGGCTTTGGTGTCGAATCGGTGGAGTCGAAATCTCGATCTCATCTTCAAGGCACACAAGGAGCGACGATGGCGGCGGGGCAGTGCCTGATATACATGACGATACACGACTGAGAACTGTCGCTAGACGGTACGCCATTCGTAGATGGCCGGTTGGTCTTTCTTGGTCATTGTCCATTTTGTTAGGGGTGCTGGGGGACATCCCTCCCAGGTGACGAATACGACCCCGCCCGGGCTAGGAGGCTCGTGCCTTCTATGATGGTACTTTGTAGCTTGATTCAAAACCTTTGTTGGGATGCAATGTACTCTTCATCAGAAAGAAACCAAGTAGTCAGAATGTTAGTCCATCAAGTTGTCGGTTGCTTTATAACTGAGACCTCCAAAGACGCCAATAAAACTCCCACGAACAGAATTCGACCATCAGATTTTGCTCTCGCTATAACGAGATACGAAGCAAAGATTAGCGGATGCATACATGGGATAGAATTTTTATTCCATTTTACTCACCTGGATATCATGACGAGACCAAGTCCTGTTCATCTTCCAGAGGCTTCTCTCCCGCCTCGGCTAGGCTGTTTCCTGGCCTGCTGAGCCATACTGAAAATATGGTACGCAGAAGAGCTTGGTGCAGTCTTGGGGTCCTCGTCTCGTCTCCCCTTCCTGGTAGTTTTCCCGTTGGGAGAATTATTCGAGGCCGTTTTCTTCTAGAGTTTAGGTCCTCAGCTGAGTCTCCAAACCACTTGGAGTCTCTAAGCCACTGGTGTATGGCTTGTCGTCCTCCTCTCGAGATGCTTGCTCGCGTGGCTGCAACTCAGCCCGCCGATTACGCTCAACTGGCTTTCCCAACAGCGGCTAGGGTGTCTGCTGCTAGAGCTGCTGCTTTTTCTGCCCCTCTCGATAGTCGGACCCATCAACTTTACCTGCCGAATCATTGGAGGAAGAGTCCGATGACATTTCCAATCGACAGTCCGCTGGATTCAGCCTCATATTCTAGTTGGTCATCCACCAGATTCCGTGGTCGCCGTTTCCCTTCTCTCAGCTCTCCTCGTGGATCTTGCCGTCCCACGCCATAAAGTTGGGTTTATCATCAGGGCCGTCTTTGCCCTTCTTCCAGCTCTCCTCGCGGATCTTACCGTCCCACACCATGAAGTTTGGCTTGTCTTCAGGGCCGTCCTTCTGGTCATCCACCAGGTTCCGTGGTCGCCTCTTCCCTTCTTCCAGCTCTCTTCGCGGATCTTTCCGTCCCACACCATGAAGTTTGGCTTGTCTTCAGGGCCGTCCTTCTGGTCAACTAGACCACCAATCTGAATGTATCACCGCCATAGGATGGTCGATTTGACTCGCACACCGGGGCCTTACCTCAGTGCACTGGATGGAATCCCCAAGAGCCACTTGGAGGAGGCGGGCCTTTGAGTTGCTCAGGATGGGCTGTCTCTTGGCCGAGGTCTGGTGTTAATGTTAACACAAGTCAACGAAGGATAAAGATGACGTGAGTATTCACTCCGTTGAGTTGTTCTGGGCCCTGGCAGCTTCATTGTTGTTGAACTTTCTTCATCTTCTCGTACGTGAGGATGATGTAAGGCAAGAAAGCAACTGCTAGCTTACCTCGCGTGTGACAGTTTGAGTGGCTTGACTCGCAAGGAAGGAAACCTGCGATGGAAGATGTCAGACCCAACATCTGAACGCGATGAATATTTGCCATACCGCAAACGGCCAGAAGGGCGTAACTTTGGGGCAGCATGCTACATGGCTGCTTGAAGATGATGCAGTGCATTGAGTCGTGGCCATACGGAGGTTAACAAGGAGGGTTTTGCGATTTGGTGGAAGGTGGGGGAATATCAAGGAAAACGAAGAGGAAGGACGGTGAGAGAGTTACAGGGTAGGTCGAGGGTAGGCGCGGCTCACTTGAGCGCGTGCAGTCTTGGATTGCCGTCCCAACCGCGCGGCCATCTCTAACCGTTAGTCGAGTTATACAATTATTTCTTTGCAGATTTCGAACCCCCCATTACGTACCCATTCACAGGACTACTTACGATGCTCATGTGTTCCTCCTCTCCCATCATTTTTACCAGCCAATTCCCACTCCATCGACTGCATCGAAGGAGAATCCTGTCCACACCGGCAGATCTTTGTCTATATCTTAAGGAGCACTTGCACCGAAAGCCTCGTAAATTTAATCTAACACCATTAGCTTACGAACTGCTACATATTGGCAGGATACGCAGATGAAAGAGGGCCTGATACGGTGATATTAACGACTGGATTGATGAAGGTAATCGCATTGTGGGCACGAGTGGCTGCAGCATGGTGGGGCTTCAGGCTGGGCTGGGGGGGAGTAACAAAGGGGGGGGGAGGCTGAATTCAGCGAGGAGCCGGGATCGCACTCTGGGGTTGTTGCGGGTGAAGAGAGTTGCTCGCCAGCGAAGATCGGGCAGCTTTCACCATTAGTACAAGAACATCTTCTGTCCAATAGACAAGGATTGTACATGAAAGCTATCCCTTTGTATGAGTCGGTACACAAAGCCATAGCCGTGCTTGTCCGGCTCAAGGGTTCATTCCTCGCGTATGCATGACCTAGAAGATAGCTGGTGACGCACTTTATGGACATCTCTCCCCAATCTGTATAGGAGAAATCCAAAAGGATCTAAAATCAGATGTGGAAAGCTTTCAGGTGCAGTGCAGTTGATCTTAACGAGTTAATCGGAATGAACAACCAAACTGGGGCGAGTTTAAAATTAATGCCAATTAAACAAAGATGTTCCATAGCTGGAGCTTTCATGGATACATATTGCCCGATGCTACAGGCTTTGGAATTTGACCGTCCACTGCGGGCCAGAACAAAGGCTGGATACTTCCCGACGTTTCGATCTGAAAGTTATTCCCTTTCTCCCTTCCTCAGCATCTATTCTATCAGTTGCATTCTCCTTACTTTGGTGCCTTCCAAGAACAGCCTCCACGGAGGGCGCAGCCCAACCAAAAACATCACCATATACAAGCAAGTCGCGCCACAAGGCATAATTGTCCCCTTCCTCTAGACGTAAAAGAGTTCCCCGAAAGTCCCACTCATCTCCGCTCTTCTTCCAGAAGCACACGAATATAATCTCGAACTCGCGGAACCCAATTGCGGCCCAGTTGTCGAGTGAGGCACGACTGCCCAAAAAGGCCCCATCTTCCTCATCCCAAACCTCATTCGGAGCCCTGCTTATACCAGCATGTTTCATTATATCGCGTGTAAACTCAATCTTGACAAGTGTGGAGCGACTTGATTTGCCAATGTCTACACCCGGTCGTAGTGTCCCGATCGACCTCGGCAGCGTCGTCAGGAAAAGCATATTGCGGACCTCGGTTTGCGCAAACTCGACGGGTACCGGCCTGAATTCATATGGCTCGTTGTCTTTGAATGGCGGTGCTAGGGCGCGAGCCCGAACAAAGATATTTGGACCAATCTTACGCATTGGAATCGTAAGAAAATCCCCCTTGCCGTCCTCCTTGAATTCCGGGTCCATGCAATTGAGCTTGAGCGCATACTGAGAACTCTTAGTGGGTTTGGCTCTAGTTCTAGTGCTCGTTCTACTTTTGGTTTCGAGGAGGTATTCTGGCACGCCGATCCTTAGCCCTTTACTGGTGAGATGTATATCGCCATCATCCAAGAGGGCGTCTGTGACAAGGTCCATATTGTGACAATTTTCAAAGTCGGTAACTGAGGTAGCAAAGAAACCGCAATAATCAGCATTTATGCTGGTCGGAGTCCAAGCCAGAAGGCTCAAATCACAAGTGGATCTCAGGATCTCCTCTTGGAGTCGGTAAAACGCTTTTGTGCCTTCTCCGTAAAGCATCGGCATCGCGATGTCGAATATCCCCAGCAAGCAGTATGCTATATCTTCAACACGAGAGGTCACTCGTTTGGAAGCCCAGGACAGCCGCTTTGCAACGCTCACTGAAGAGAGAGATGTCTCATGCGTTAGAATGGCCGTGTCGATTGATGTGATTCGAGAGAGTACATGGCATAGATCGCTCTTTGTACCCCCAGGGCCCCAGTTCTCGTCGAAAAACTTGATGGTTTTGGGCGCAATAAGTTCTTGTAGAGTCCAGCCGCGGGTAAACCATCTGCACCGCTTCAAGTTTCCATCGACAGCCCAATCACTCAAGTATGCATAGCAAACCTTTGCGTTCTGATACCATTTGAACATGGAATTGATACCTTCACTGAGCTCAGCACTGCTCCTTTTATCGATGCAACAGGTATCAACCCAGACGTATTCGATGTCATCCTCTAACGCCCGCTCGCATGTCTGGAAAATCTTTGCGTGCCCCGTCTTGGAACTATTCATCTTAGAGTGGCAATCTTGGTAAGTGACCTCTTGGTCCGCTTCATCCCAGGTGTGAGAAAGGATTGCATAACCCGGGGGAGGGCGGTTAAAACACTCTTCGAAAAAATCAGGTTCACTGCCATCTTGCCAGTTTTTGAATTTCTCCGCGTTGATGAGCCTCATTGTCTTATAGAGGTTACGGTACAGTGAGACCACAGTCCAAGCATGTACGATGAGGGGATATCATGAGATTATTGGAGGACTGCTGTTCGAATGCGTTATTGATTTGATCGGGGCTGGAAGGAACCTTTGAAAAGTACGACATTGACTCAAAGCCAATGAGCTTCGCCGTGGCCTGCAGGAACTCCAACGCAGCCTCGGCTCGCGCACTGCAACCACCACATCAGCCACCCCTGTGCTTGTTCATCAATGAAACCATGAAATAATGCAACGGTATTCTGACATTTTTATTTAGGCGAGGAGAGGCACTGTAGGCCTTGAGACATTGCAAGACTAGCTACTGAACACTGTATCTGGAACTCCAATCTTGGCTCTAGTGAACCAACTTTTGTTCTGTAGCCCCCAACTGAGGAAAACGGAAAACAGGAAAAGAAACCTATTCATTCTCATCAACCATTTCCATGCGGGGTCGTTTGTACTGGTTAGTACCAGTGGCATCGGAAACCTGTCGAGGAATAATCATCTGGGACGGGCCGACACCAACCAACTTGGTTGATTGCACCATACATTTCTTCTCGGCCTTGATATCGAAGTTGAACTCGACGCCATGGTGAAGGTCTTCAAGCTTTTCCGCCATCTGAGCAAGGAAGAACTTGGTATCACAGCCAGGGTAAAGACTGCCCAGATGCGACTGCAGAATGTAGTGCTGATACTCTATCTGTTCAATCTGTTCAACTTCAAGATGGGGATCCATGCGATAAATCTCGGAAGTGTATGCACAGATGGCAAAGACAGGTCCTGTTGGGTAACCATCTTTGTTGAGCTTGACAACGACGCTGTAGCCGGTCGGCTGCCATGAGTCCCACATGTTGTAGACTAGCTTGTCCTGGACAGATTTGTCTCGAACCTTCATCCATTCCTTCCCTGTACAGCACATCAGCGCCCCAACTTGGTAAAAGACATCCGGCTCGGTGTCAAGGAAGTCGTCGCTGTTGGCGCTGCGCATGGAGGCAATCGAGTCCTCCCCCGAGCTTCGGTTCTCACGTCGGCGTTTCTGTGGGCTTGATAGACCAGGTGGATCAACGGGTGGAGGAGATTGTTGAGAAGAAACGGTAGCAACATCGATCGCCACGACAGCGGGATCCAAAGTCATGGCGCTTTCCGCTTCACTGATCTCGTCGAATGGTTCATCAGGGTTGAATGCGCACGGGTTCGGTTGGATGGCATATCCTGTCAAGGTACCACCGAAGCGGCTTTCGCCCACAAGGAAATCAGGGAAGTTGTATCTCTGAATTGATAAGACGGTCTCTTGGAGATGCCGAGGATCCTTGCACGGAGTCTCTCTGATGCGAGTGAGGAGCGAGCTGCGTGAAACTGGAACTCTATCTCGCCTGTAATCCCGGTCGAGCCACTTCTCAGCGAAAGTCATGAGGGTTTCATCGACGTCTTCGATGTCGGGATACATGGCTTCCAAGCCACTAATCAACCCCCCCGATTGAAACTCATCTAGGCCGCCATTCTCATACCATTCGTGCAAACGTCGCTCGGCGGGTGTGAAGGTGGCGATGATTTCAACGTCGGTCAGGCTCGGGTCTAGGTGCCCTAAGAAGATGTGAGTCAATGTTCAGTAGGCAGTTGTTGATGGGTGCATGCATGCTGTCAGGAAGGGAAAGTGTCTTACCTGACATGTTGGCGAAGTGCCGATACTGCGCCGATCCTGGGGTATGTAGAAGTGCGTAGGTGACTAGTTGACTGGTTTTTGGAGTAGGAATGGAGAGATCGTTGGCATCTGCGGGTGCAGAGGAGGAAGCAGAAGTGTGAGAAGTTGGGGAAGCAGAAATGCGAGAAGTTGAGGAAGCAGAAATGCAAGAAGTTTGGGAGGGCGGAGAAAGTGAATGAAGGGCACAAAGTTTGGGTGTGGCGGCACAGTGTGGATCCGCATCGAGCTACTGTACGCGTTGAAGGAGAGGGCAGTTCAAAAGGTACTTGCCTCCCAAGTGGCTGGCAGAAAACACAAAGTCACCAGCAGAGATATTGTGGCAATTAATCACACAATAATTCCTCCGATAATAATGTTTAATAATTGTCGAATAATTTATTGCTATAATTGTTGATATTATTGTCATGTACCTACTGTCATTTGCAGCCACTGTTATTCTGACGCCCACTTGCTCTTGCATGAACTCTAAGTACCTTGGCTCGGGGGGCCTCTGGAAACGCACAGTGCACTGCAACGCAACTGGATTTATCCAGCCTTGATGCAAAACAAAAAACATAGGTTTCTTTCACTTTCTACCTACCTACTTACCTTTCATCCAACCTACCTACCCCAAGCATCGATTAATCGATGCTTAGGTAGTCACCTCACTTCTTTCCACACGATCGTCTCGCCGTTATCATCTCTGCCACCCCCATCACTACAACCTCTATCACTGTCGCCGCCTCTCCCGTGAAGGGTTGAAGCAGGATGGTTTTGACTCCTCCGAAAAGGTACAGAACGCTGTACCCGTTGCCCCTACCCGATAAGCTAGAGTTATCACCGGACCCAACCCAAGCATCTCTGGAGTACACTGAGTATTGTGTCTCGTTGTATTATCTAGTCATGGGCTTGAATGTTGATGCCGCAGCTTTTCGATCCTCAAGATGCTAGGAGCGTCTAGGAGACATTGAAAACGAACTACCGTACGGCCCCCGACACTTCATTGCTCTCCTTACTCAGTATTATTCGATTGCTCGTCAGCAACAAGAGGCGTTGGAGGAGGAACTGGACACCCGCCCATCTCTTCAACTACTGCTTCATCCTGCAGGGTCAGTTGTCACGCTGCCGAATTTGCAAGCTAAAATCAAAGCACGACTCAACAAGGTTCTAATGCTCATTCAATCCATTACCCGTCTGCTTGGACTCCCTAAAGAAATCGAATCCGCTCCTCTTGTTGCAAACATCTCAGTCCGCGAATGCAGACTCTGGTGTGAACTCAACACGGCTGATTTCCGACAACGCCTACAGAGTGCAAGAGGCACCGCCGAGTTGCTTCCTATCATGAATGAAGTTTCGAATATCATCCTCGGAGACGTCGCTATAGTTTCTGACCAAGTTGACCAAGATGAAGGTGTTTTCAAAGTCCACAATGCAAAGGAAGACACAAGCATCGTTTCGCCTTATGTGTACTTTGTCTGTACAGGAATGGACAAAGAGGGCAACAAACTCCACAATCTAGTGCATGTCGGCTGCACTAGGGAGAGGTTTCCGATGTGGAAACCTCTCCAGCAGCATCGCGATGATGCCAGGAATGACCTAATTGGACAAGAAGCCATCGATGAATGGGGCAAATGGCGCGAGCAGCTTGTTAAATTGGGCATGGCTACGACCGATGCCACATTCAGGTTGAGAGAAAATCTCATGCAGGGCAACACTGAAGAGTTGCCGGAGTGGGCTCACGAGCTGGTTACGAAAAAGCTGCGTGCATGCAGCAACCACGTTGGTCAGTCCTTCCAGCAAGTTGACTGGAACACAATAATCCACATGGGTTGTTGCATGTTGTGCAAGACCACTATCTCCTTCGAAGAGATCAAGGAAAAGGACTACAGAAAGGAGGCGAAATGTGCTAACCTTCATCGGAAGAAGCACTGTCCCCACTCCTGTGCTGAGGTGGCAACAAGTGGGATCTGTGATTTTAAAACTAGAAGTTCTCACAGTGAGCTTTAGGGTGTTGCTTTTTTCATTGGCGAGAGGCTATGGGGGCCAAGTAATGGGATGCAGAATCAAAAATTCGGTGATATATGTAGGTAGTTTACGAGCGATGAGCTGCCGATGGTGTTAGAGTAGATCTTGCTACCAATTTGTCACACGAATAAGGGTTGCATCAGTTGTAATGTATTGTCTAAGTATCTCCGTGGATCCGCTACATTCTGGTACGGCCTTGTACTTGCTGCGGTGCTTGTCATGTGACAATATCCCCCCCGTCTAAAATGCCAACGTCCTCGTTGATAGGTACATATAGAGTAAGATTTCCATTTCCCATTTCATGACTCGATAATCTCGCCGAAAACCCGGTCTGAAAAGCAATATGCATTACGCGCCCCGTACTGTATTTCCGAATAAAAAAGTCCTATGTCTGTAATCCCAAATCCCAATTTCGAATATTATGCCGCTGAAGACAATTGATGCGAAGCCTCGTGGCGAATGAGTGAAGTAACGCTGACTGGATCAGCCAATCTGGATCCAGGTGTACAATATTAACAATGAATACACAAACAATGAATCAATACACAATAATGAATTAATACACGACAATGAAGCATTATATAACAATAAATTAACATACGAACAATCAATGAATATGTAAACAACGAATAATACTAATACGTAAACAATGAATCAATACGTAAAGGTTAAAAACTAGAAGCTTAGGGGGGGAATAGTCCCGTAGGAATGGTCGAAATGACCAAGAGGATAAATCTAATGACCCTAGTTTCCATGCTAGTACCGAGTATCTTAACCAGCACGGACTGAGGAGTTTCTGTCTCAACACTCAGGCTCGAAATACATGTTTTTTCACCCGAGATGATTGTTATTGCACTGTCGTTCTCGACTCAAGGATCTCTTGAACACAGTAGCGTTTATGGGTTGCTATCTATCGTGCAAGACAACTGTCACCTTTGAAGAGGTCCAGGAGAAGGACTTCAAAAGAGAAGCTAAAGACATCATCATTCATCAGAGGATGGAATGCCCCCATTCCTGCGCAGAAGTGGTGACAAGCGGAATTTGTGATTTCGCAACCAGAACACAATGAGTCGCCCCTTCCCCCTCACCTGTTCTCCCTACCCCTCCCCCTCCCCCTCCCCCTCCCCCATTTCATCTTCAAGTTTTCTGTATCCTCGTCATCTATATTGGGGTCAGAAGATGTTTCCGCGTTGCCAGAAGCAAGCTTTAAGGAAGTAGTTGTCGTGTCGCTTCCAGTTGTCACGTCCGCGATCATTGCGTTCGCGACCAAGGTGTTTTAATGATTACCTACCTAGCTAGAGGCTACCAGAGCCGAATAATGGCATGCAAAATCAGGAATTTCGGTGAGCTAAGTAGTGTATGAGTTTTAGTTTGAATTCAAAGAACCGATTAGGAAGATCCGAGACATCACGCGTCCATTTGAACAGTGTACTAGTACTAGTGTTACCATACTGCCCATGAACTTCCTAATATCACTTTAAATGATAAAAGACTTGCGTTCCACACTTAAGTCAGTACATAAACAATGAATCAATATACAAATATTGAATTTGATATATAAATAATGAAGCAATACGTAAATAATGAAGCAATACGTAAATAATGAAGCAATACGTAAATAATGAAGCAATACATAAATAATGAAGCAATACATAAACAATACAGCAATACATAAACAATGAAGCAATGTTGATGACGAGTATCTCAACAAGCACGGACTGAGGAAGTTCAGGATCTCGGCTCATTCTTCATTATGATGCTTTCCCAGTGGATCCAATCCAGTCCATGCGGAGCTCGACAGCCTCTTGCATCGCCTGGACTCCTTGCTGAAGGAGCTCAGTTAGTGGTATCTTGCCAGCCTTCTCGGCCAAGACTGCAGTAAAATGACTATTCATCGCCCCATTGATATTCACCTTGGCCACGCCCCTCTTGATGCACATGTCGTATAGTTGCTCGTCAAAGCCAGCAGCGCCGTGCAAGACGAGTTGAATCCCTCGTTTGCAAGCTGTCTTATGTACCCTCTCTAAACGCTCAAGATCCAACTGGGGGCCCTTGGGGCCGTACTTGCCGTGGACGTTCCCGAAAGCAGGTGCAAGCCAGTCAATTCCTAATGATATGAATTCTTCTGCTTGCTCCGGTGTGGTCAGAATCCCCTCGAGATCCTCTGTGTCCGCTACACCGTCCTCGCCCCCGTTGATACGGCCTGGCTCAGCCTCGACGATGATGCCCTTGGAGTGGAGGAAAGACGCGAGTTCCTTTGTCTTGGCCAGGTTCTCTTCCTTCTCATAATGGCTCATGTCTACCATGATGCCATCGAACCCCCCAAGGTCTGCGGCACGGCGAATAAGCTCGGGAGACTGTGCATGATCCATGTGGACGGCGACAGGCACACTGGCTTTATCAGCAGCCTCCTTGGCGGCATGGATGAGTAGGCCATCGGCGAATTCGATCGCCCAAGGGAATAGTTGGATGATGACTGGGGATCGCTTTGCCTCGGCCGCCTTCACTGTCGCAAGGATGCCTTCCAGATTGTAGCAACACATGGCGGGCACGGCATAGCCGCCTGCTGCCGCTGCGTTGACTATGTCCAACGCCCGGTTATGGCCTGTGAACGGCATGTTGTCTGATAAGTTGGTGGTGACGTTGCGTTACGGCGGGGAGGTCGGAGATCAACATGGTCCGTTTACATCCGTCGGAAATAACTTTTGCTCTCTTTAGGAAACGGATAAGCACTCAATTGTCGGGATCCTCCGGCAAAGTTGAAATATTGCCCAATATGGCAGGACCCAGATTCTCCACATTCCACTTTGATTACAGGCTCCAACGACATCGCTTCCGCTTCCTACCTACAGGCAGTGGTCAACATTATGAACAAGATCTATGAAGGTGAGATTGGTGGATATAGAGAAGTGGAATCATTTGAAGAGCGACACATCCTTAAATGCCTCGCCACTACGAACAAGCTGGCCATGCCCCAAACTGAAGTAGGCAATTCTTAATAGCAACTCCAAGCCCGGCACAGAATAGTAGTATCTTCTTCGGGATAAGCCAAAGGGTTCTCATTTTGGCAGGGAACGCTGCCTCGCTTTTGAGATTTGCTCTCCTCTTCCCACCTTCTACCGCCGTCAAAGGAATGCACTGATGCGATCCGCTCTCGCAGGTCTAAAGAGCCTCTAAACCACGTCATATGCGGTCTCCGATTCGGGATGACTATCTTCAAGATGAGGCTCCGAGGAAAAATTTACAAGATCGTTGATCGACTGTGTGTAGAAGGACGATGGGAGGAGTGTCGGTCGTGCCTGCCTCCACAGCAAAAGCCGCGGACCCACCTTTCGGCGTGATCGGCGTAAAGCAACCGACCCACAGCCACTGGACCTCCCTCCACCTTGCCTCAAGTTCACGACAGAGAATTCGCACCGGCAATACCGAAGCCCAAGATGCCAGGCACGAAATGCAGTCTGAGTGTACATCTTGCCGCATGCGGACCTTGCCGACGATCGAAACGTGCCTGCACCCACGAAGAGCCTATTACGGCCGATGCCGGACTCACTGAGCAGAGGACGATTGTAGATGTCGAAGTCGACGTTTCAAACGAGGGGATTGCCGAGCGGACGATAGGAGCTCAGAGAAGAGATTTTTACATCTTAGATCTCGCTAATACTAACCAGATCGCCGGTAATACACTGTTCAAGTCCCATTGAGATCCCGGGTGCCTCGCAGGCGAAGGCGATCAGACCGTTATGGGGAAGGTTATCTCTAAAGCAGCTAACTTGAACTAAGCTGGCCACCTGTATGACTGTTACCCTCGGATTCTTTCCTGCCCTGATCAGTTCTTTGAGTTTGTACTTGCGAACAACGGCATTCCGCGATATCACCAGCCGGTCCACTAATCGAGTGGAAACAACAAAGGTCAATTTGTCTCCGATTACACCGAAATCCCAGGAATACCGGTCTCCTGAGCCTTTGTCGGCCGATATGATCGATGGTTCATTAGTAATCATTCATTTGACTCATTCTCTCTTTAAATGTATGGTCTGCTGGAGTTATTTTGGGTCGAAAATCGCTCTTCTGTCAACAATTGCAGCTTCTCTCCTTACGCTTCAAGCTCAAATGGCCTCTCACCAACTTTCTTATAGTAAGTGCTTCGGTACGAGTGCACCAAAACAATGATGCTAATTTAGAACTTTAGGGACCCTTGATGTCTTTACAAACAAACGGTCAAGATGCCCAATATCCTGGAAATAATTGTTGAAGGATTTTCTCTAATTCGTCGTCTTCTTTTGCAGGTTCAAAGGAAATCAATTAGCAGTCCTTGATGTCGGGAACAAAGTCCTGTCGCCTCTACAGATGCAAACGATTGCACGCGAATTCAACTTCTCCGAAACCGTCTTTCTGCGCCGAAATGATTCCGACGAGTTCGCTGTCAATATCTATACGCCGGTAGCTGAAATTGACTTCGCCGGACACCCAGTCATCGGAACCGGTCACGTTATATTTCAACAGCTCTTACCTAGCCTCCGACAATACCATGCGTCTTCCGAGACCCAACTGTTTACTAATGCAGGACCTGTTACTCTGCATCATGACACAGAAGAAGCAACAGTATCAGCCCAAGTGCCTCACAATGTTCATATCCACTCACGACCGACCACCAAGGAACAAGTCCTAAAGACACAGCCATCCCTGCATGCACACTCCTCGTCCTTGGAGGAAGTTTATCCCGCTGTATCTATTGTCAAACGCGTCACTTATACGTTGGTGGATTTAACAAGGGACCCAGACATATTCACGTGTGTGAGTGCTGGGCCCAGTCAGGTCACAGAGCTGGATGATGGCTGGTCTCCTTCATTCACTGGTGTAATGTACTATTTGACATCAACACCTTACATGGAGGAGGGCTTTGTGATGCAAAGGCTTCGAGTTCGCATGATTGCAATTGATCTCGAGGATCCAGCCTGTGGTAGTGGCTGCAGCTCTCTTTGTGCTTACTTGGCCTTGCGGCGGGGTGGGCCGCGTGCGCAGTTCAAATTCCTGATTGAGCAAGGGAAAGAGATTGGACGGGACAGTTACATTCACGTGGGAGTCACGTTGAATCAGAGCGGAGACGGTGTAGAGACCATTTCTCTCACTGGTCAGGCGGCAATGGTGATGGAGGGCACACTATTGCTACCAGAGTAACAACTAAGCAATAGATTGACGTGGGGATTCACATATAATCAATATCCAGGCATGAAGGAACCTTCGAAGAATGTTACTAGAAATCACTCCTAAATGAGGCCGACTCTTGATCGGCAAAGGCTCTCGTTATGTAACATACCGATGGTCCCATCTTTGGAAGCCTTCAGTAGTTTTATTGCCCAGTCGCTTCAAGTACATGATCATAGAACGAGTGGGCTATTTAGATAAAACTGACGATCAACAAGCCTTGAGTTTAGGACATGGCCGTTGAGTAGGTACCTCATGACAGTGAGAGTGGTTTCCAGATACCGGCAGGAATGTCAGCTTGGGACGTTTTGATTGAAGTCATCGCCCCACTGATCCGGACCAGCATCACCGCAAATTCTGCGGCGTATATCCTGTTAATCTGATGCAAGGCAAAGCCTGGTTATGAAGATGTATCAGATGTAACAAGACCCGTTCAGTGTAGGGTACCGTAGAGTGAGGACAGGCGTAATTGAGCAGGCACTCCCCCCTTTAAAAAGGGGTTGGCTATAGATAGATAAATAAGGGACGAGCCAGTCTTAGATGATATGGACCTTTCGTAAGCCCGGTTTCGGTCCATTTTCCGACACAGTCCTCACGGATCCTAATGGGAGTTCGAGCATAAAGTAAACACAGCAATGGCAGAGGACAAACCCGACATCTCAACACAATGACTACAAAGGCAAAACTAATCTTTGCTAGCCCCAGGCTGCAGTCTTGCACAAGGAAAATTCTTTGAGCCTTCCTACCAATAACTGACGTCCCGTCAGGACGAGTCGCTTGGAAGACAACCTTCACGGATAAAACACTAAGTGGGAAAATGATGCAAGATAAGATTCTTGGTAATTCCTCGATGGCAGCCAACACCTTTCAAAGCCGAAGCATTCATCCATGTCCTATATGAAACTGACTGGCGCCCTCAGGAATTGACTCACCTTTGTGTCAAATTTCACATCCGCAAATCCCCCACTCGCCAGTCCACCTAGAAAAACAAGCCTTACTAAGATGAAGGTGGGCATAATTTCAACTGAACAGCGACCTTGACAGACTCTTTCCTTGGCTCAGCCAGTCATGCATGTAGTGGATTATCCTGACCTCATGACTTGTTGTTCTAAAACTGTCCTCAATCATGCGGTTTGTAGAAGGCTACGACGGATGTAGGCGGGGCGTGGCAATCAAGAAGATAGTGCAACCTCGGTCAAAGAGCTCCTCCATGCTCATCAGGTCGTTTCTCTCGGTAATAAACATCGTACGATATAAAATAACGACGGATATAAATCATTGGTTGCCTCGAAACGTTTTCTTTGTTTTCTTCGTTTTCCTCGCCGGGGAGAGTGCCTGTATGAAAAGACTCATGGTTAGAAACAAGCTTCACGCGTGAGGCGAAACGAAAGGGAGATCCTGAGATTACCGAACTCATCTTGAACTTGGCTCTGCGTTTTCGTGCGCCGGATCCAGAGTACGAACATGGCCTGTGCAGCAAGAGCCACACCAACCATGGCGGCGATCGTCCTGGTCTTTAAAGGCATTTTCCATGTGCAGATTCGATTTTCAAGAGGTCCGAGGGATCTAGTGCGAGAAGGAGAATAAAATGACGTTGGAGCTGGCGAGGTTGAGGTGTGGGATGGATGAGGAATGCTCGACCAGGGAGATGGCAGCTTCCAAGTCCGTGTGTGCAATGACAGTTGGCCTACGCCTGCCATCCAAACTTTGTGTTGACACCTCCAGCCATCGCTTGTGTAGGTACGAGAGTAACCGAGCTCAAGGCACTTACAGTGATCTATGCCCAACCCTCGGGGGCTTTAGGCTCTCCAGAGGGCACATTAGGTGCACGCTCACAGGTAGGTACCTGTATGCTAGCAATTCCAAGACCTGGTCAACTACCTACTTATGCAGGTGGGTTCTCTAGCAGCGGCGCAACATCTTTGCCGGGTGCCTTATCTTTCCAACACATTTCACATATTTTCATACCATCTACCAACTACCTACCTAGGTCTACCTGATACGACACTCCATACACCTGTTCAAGACCTTAATAGGGATTGCGCTTTCGAGCATCCAAAATCTCCAGCTTCTACCACGAGTCAATCTTGTCAGTTCAGTCTTCCACTAATCTGAGTTCTTGAGGAAACCTGTGCAAGCGGCAAAGCGGCGTGCAGATTTCCGCCCTCACAGAGATGTTGTCTGAGAACTGTCACCCATCGAGTGGCAGAATGGACACCTTGAGCGTTCATAACGGCGACGTACGTTGGCGGAGCTTTTCTACCCCCTAACCTTCATTGGCAAGCCTAACTTTATGGCCATGTGTTCCACAAGATATACGTCCTTGACGCGAGAACGCCGTCGCTTGGCCATGGGTGCAACTACTCCGGGGGTCATAGTTGAAGGCAGACACCACACCAGTGATCAGCTGTCCCCATGGAGCTCTCTCCTACACCTAGGGCAGTACAGATAATCCATCATCTTGATAGCGCGAGAGCACATCGATGGTTGTCTGGAAAGACTTTGAACAGGCACTCCAAAGCCTATGATATACATTACTCAAGACAACAGTTACGCGAACATCCCTTCAGGCCCAGTAGGTAGCGGAGATCTACTAATGCCGTCTGAGTTTCACGCCATTATCGGAGACACGGTAGATGACGATGGGAAAGCCATGGGCTTCTCACTGATGCCACGGCGCCTATTCCCTGATATTGCTGAGAGCTTCCGTGCGCAACACGAACCCTTCACGACAAACCAGCCATACAAGAGTCGTTTTTCATCGCTTGATGGCTATCGGGGTTTTGTCCGAATCATGGTCACTCAACAACGACGATATTTATCACTTGGGAATCGTCGGTTCAATTCTCACAGGCAATCACCGCCCTTATCATCCCCTATATACCGAGCCGCTTTCTTCCGGTCTGACCTGGACCGCTGGCGACACGCAAACAAGTCTAATGAAAGATTATTGGAACCACTACGTGATGGGGGAAACCTTGCCTTCCTTCTTTTTGGGGATGAGACGCTTCTATGTGCTTTGACATACAGTTTAAAGCTACCAAGGCGGTAGTTTAAGAGAAATGTCAACCGACCGAAAGAAAAGTTCCTGAAATCAGCATCAGGCTTTTACGATCTTCTCGGATACGGGAGATAACTATGCTTTCAAAGTTTTATGTGAGCTTACCTTGGCGGTGGTCCGGTCTCTGCACATCATGATGGTGGTCAATCTTTGTTCAAATGGTCGTCTTCGGGATGTTTCCCTGATCCTTCGCGAGTTCAGTTTCAGAGCGACGTAAATCTGGGACCCAGTTGAGTCTGATCATTGACAAGCCTTTTGCTTCTCTTGATGTGCCCTACTTTCACTTTTCTGTATAGGTGACGCATTCGAAACTCTTCGCTAACTCCGGTCTCAGAGGCATAAGGGGGTATCCCCTTAATCCACACTGAGTATCCGGTAGCCGGGTAGGGGTTGGGAGACGAAATGCACATTGACAGAAGAGTAAGGAGCCAGTGTGCACATCAAGTACATGCCTAGGACCATTCAAGAATTTTACGTGCATTGTAATCTCGGTCTACCAAAAGATGCAACCCTCTCACAAATGTTGCCTGACAGGAATCCGGGCAGTTCTCGACGTACATGAGACCATTTATACTCCATCAAGGGAAAAGCATGCTTCCCTCGACAAGGCACATAGGTTGAAGACAAAATCACGTGGACCGTCATCTCCTCGGATCTCCGGCTAGAAAGATCAACCCTTGTAGACCGGATGATACCCAGCTTCTTATACTAGGATAGAACGTATAAATAGTGCGAAGGAAAGCTACGGATTCTATATGAAGAGGTGCTTTTGTTTCGGGGCCAGAGTGGACTATGCGGCGATAGTACAAGGTCAACTGCCTGGTGAGGCTGTCGCAGATTCTAGGTAGACGTCATATTTCACCTAAGGAGAAAATACCAGCGTTACACTTCCTACAGAAGCAAACGATCGGCCCATACTCGCCCCAAAAGTACGACCTGCACGTCAGTAACTACGAAGCACCGTGCTATTCTTAACAAGGGAGATCGTGCTTCTAGTAGTGTAGGTGGCAAGGCTCATCATGGATCCAAATCTGTCAAATTCTATGTGCTTCCTCGGGAACCTTGGGTACCTAAACGCCAAAAGGCACCTGTTGTTCTCAATAGATCTTTCACAAGGACGTGTACTACTGTGTCAAAGTTCTTGCGTGAGAGATTGCGCACTCAGCCACGTACCTGCCTTTAAATGCCCGTACTGTAACAGTCATGGAAGGAGCGGCCATGGAGCCAAAGTGCCTGTGGGTGGGCTGCTTAACGAATCGGCTACAGTGGAACCGGCTTTGCTGTACGTCCTAGAGGTAAGGCAGGCACCTGGGTCCCTTCCCCAGACTTCTCCTTCCCCCTCGTGCTAAAATCTTCTCTTCTCTTCTCTTCTCTTCTCCTCCCTCCCTTCCCCCTCCCTTTCCCCTCACCTTTTTCTCTTCTCCCATACGCACCCAACACAAAAACAAAAAGGCATTTTAATGCAAAAACAAAAAGGCATTTTAATGCAAAAACAAAAACGCATTTTAATGCAAAAACAAAACGTAAGTGTCATCGTTCTTACAGTCATGTCCCTCCCATCATCAAGATTTGATTTTCCTTTCTCCTCCGAAAATTCCCAAATGCCTGGAGAGGAGCCCGGCTCCCACCCAAGCCTACTCATTTTCCCTAGCCGACTCATCACTCTGATCTTTGAAATCTTGTCTTCTCTGGAAGTCAAGATAATATGGTCCCATCAACCCCTCCAGATTTATATCTCGTGAAAGACTTTAACAGATAGAAGCTAACGCACATACAGCGAGGCGGTACTGGGGAAACCTTCAGGGCTCTCAATGGTCCCCATCATTGCCCCGGTGCCGCCTCAACATCAACACTCGTCCTACGACGAGCTGGGCGAATTCTAGCTCCGTCCGAATCCCCCCGAATGGTTTCTGCACATTCAGGAGCTAGAATTCGCCCAGCTCCAGAAGGACGAGAACGGCGGTGTCCTCCGTGAACTGGCTGATTTGCACTCTTTCAAATCAGCTGGTTCACGGGGGTCATCGCCACACACCCACAGGCTGCGCCGAGCCGTGCCTGGACGGTGCGAGGATGGCAAGTTGAATGAACGCAACTATACATGTAAGTGAGAGAGCTGTGTAGTTCATGCGGCAACTACTAACAACAAAAGTGTGGGAGGATATCAGATCACCAAGAAATCAACCGGAGGAGATGTGGCTTGAACGTTAAAACAAAGAAGATGCCACACCCGACAACTCAACACAATGAATAAGGTATCATCCAGTATTGCAGCACATCAAACTTCAGCATTTTTTTTTCAGCCATGAGGCTTGCGCAAGGCCTAGCGATACAAAAGAGACCACATGTTGTTCCTGGTGAGAAGCCTATTCCCCTTGCCTTCCATTCAATGACTTGTGCAGCTAACTGAGGTTTCCTCAAGGTGAACAGCCTAAAGTGTGACGATGACCTCGACCGACATTGCCTTTCGGGTGATCTACCAACTTGCATGAAGCAAACGGGTCCACCTCTTCCTTGCGGGTCCTTTCAACATCCTCGATCCACATCCAATGGTTAACTCCAGGGCGAGTTCACACGAGAGGTCGCTCCAGTCAGATGAGAAAACTCTCGGATTTTCGCTCCTATGAGTCTAGGCAGGTGTACCCTAAAGATGAGCCACAAGAAAAAAAGAAAGCTGTCACTAACGTTGCGCATGCAGTCACATGTCACCAGACCGCAACTCCATTTAGCACATGCACCAGGTGCCGCGTTCTCATGACCAACTGTGGACCGGTAAACTTGGCAGGGAAGACGACGGAATTCTCAATCATCGATCAATGGGAATTTTCAATCAATGAACTGGCAGGGCCACTCTGTACATATGAGTGGAAGCAACAGTGCATACGCGCATGGAATGTGCAAAGAAAGGGGGGGGAGGTTCATGGATAGAGAGCAAGGCAAATGCGAACACGAGAAGATTCAAGTCATGGGAAATCCAGCAGGCAAACACAGCCTTGAAGAGTCAAAAAATGACGTATTCTTTGATTTGAATAGAATCAGGATTCATCACCTCAAGTTGGATTTATGTGCCATGGACAGAAGTAAGAAATGCAGCCTAACGGGATGATGAGATCTTCCCCAAGGTTCCAACGCTCAACTCAAATGGAACAAGCTTCCCATCCATGTTAACTTATGACTAGGCGTTCCCTTGGACGTACGACCTATACTCGAGAACGCTGTCGCAGGCTTATGTATGCAATTGCCCAGAGATAACAGTTGAAGGTACACCCTATAACATTGACCAGTCATCTCTATGAAGCTCTCTCCTACCGACGGCAGGTAGGCAGAGATTCCGTCGTGCAATTTATGCGTGATAACCGTGACACGCAGTAAAAAGGTGGGGGCGATCCGTATCCGTATTGGAGCTGCTCGGTCAGGGTCTTTGATCTGCTGGTTCAATGGCTGCATGAAGGGTCTTTCAGGGAGTCTAGGCGCTGCCAAGCTCCACAATTAGGGGCGTCCCCACTGAGCCACTTTCCCTTTGGGGCCTGGGTACGCCGGCTTAGTGGGCGGAAGGCGCGTGGATTAGTCAGTGCGGCCACTGTCAATGCGCTAGAGCCAAAGGCACAGCGCACCTGGCCAATCTCCCCCGTGGCCTAGTGACAGGCTAATGAGCAAACCCAGGTCTCATTTGTCTCCCATCACATCCGAACAAGAGGAAACAAAAAGAAAGAAAAGGATGGGTTTCCCACGCCTTCCGGGCCAGCACCGGTCTCCCTCCAATGTCCGCATCAAGACCAAGGCCAGCCGCGACAGAATGGTGGACCAGGAGAAGCGAGCCGCCGCCACGCGACAGAGTCGGGAGGTAACGGACCATCTATTCGCCCCGAACCAGCACACAGAGACGGAGACGGAGAACGAAGACGAGCGGCAGCCACAGCAGCAGCCGGATGCCTTGCTGGAAGACGGCACGCGAGCAAATCCCAGCCCCAGCAAGAACTGGCTGCCGCCCAGCAATGGCTTCACCTGGAACCAGATCTTCTACATCTTCATCCTGGACGGGCTGGGAGGCATGATCCTCTCTGGCGGCATCAACTTCGCCATAGCCTACGGTGCGTTTGTTTTCTTCCCCTCCCCCCTCTGCTCCTTCTTTACCGTCGCCCCGGTGAACTCTGAAATGGGCTGACCGGGGTGGATTGATCGTCGACCCCTGTCGTGTTCGCTCCTCACTTACATTTGCACTAACACTGACCGCCTCTACTCCAGTCATGTACACCGTCCCCGACCTCACAGGCAAGCCAATCCGCCTCTTCGAGCTGCCAAACACCCTGGCGGGCGACGCAGCCGTCACCATCATCGTTCAGTGCCTCATCACCTGGTTCATCGAGTCGGCCCTCGTCGCCACGGACCTGGCCAAGCAGGGCGTCCAGCCCCTGTACCTCTGCGAGGCCCCCACCTCGCCCCTGCTCCGCTGGCTGTTCCTCCTCGACCAGCCGCAGCCGCCCAAGTTCTTCCCAAACCTGCTCCAGCAGGCCCTGAGGGGGTTCATGATGGCGTTCCCCAGCTTCATCCTCTTCTGGCCCCTTTCCGTCGGCGTGCTGACCGAGCTGGGCGTCCCCAGCGGCGGCGACTACGTCTACGAGAAGAAGTGGGTGCCGCAGTTCTTCAAGCTGCTGCTGGGCGGGCTGCTTGGGCTCGTGTCGACGCCCGTCATGGTCATGTTCTGGCTGGTCAAGGCTGGGTGGGAGAGCAACTTTGTCCACGGGCGTCCCTGGGTCTGATTTCAGAGGGTTGGATTCGCAAGAAAAGGAGTTTGGGGTTGTTTTCATGCGCCGCATTGCTTTTGATTTATTTCTAGATCATCTTGGTCATGACACAATTGGCATTTTGCAAGCGCAGCATTGTTAGGCGAGGCTGAAGGTTATTTGGCGGAAATTGGGTACCAGCATTCAGGGGGTTTGCGGGGGTACCTCATTGGCGAAACGGGATCATCTCATTTCTCGGCGATGTGAACAGTGAACTTGGGATAAACATATTGGCATAGCGAGCATTACAGTAGAAGATAGATCAAATAATCAGTACATTTCCACGCAGCCAAATAGAATATGTGATATACCTGCAATACGGCGTTGTAGTGGCGACTCAAGTTAAACTGGTTCCAGCACCACAACTTCCACACCATGCACCATTATCCCATTTTTCAGCGTCGGCTACAGTAAAAAAAAAATCCATAGGCATAGCAAGCAATACAACAGAAAATAGATAGGATAATCAAAACTTGACCTAGTGGCCGGATATAATATTTAATAAAGCAGAAGCAATCGCGGTGGAACATGTGCTGCCACAACACAGTGGCCCCGGCAGTGCACTATACGACATAATGCACCATTTTCTCATTGCTCAGCTTCGGTTACAGGGAAATTTTTTTAAAATTCATAGATATAGTGGGAGTGACAGTAGAATATATATCACATAATCAAAAGTTGCCCAAGTAGCCGGAAATGATGTTAATAAAGCAGAAATGCAATATCGCGATATGTGGCTACTGAACTGGTTCCGGCAGTGCAGCTTCTATTATACACCATCATCTGATTTCTTAGCATCAATATGGCTCGCTTGACGACCTAGATGGTCTTATTCAATTGACCAAATGCAGAAGTCCCTATTAAGCAGCAAAAATACAGTGTATAATTGCGATTGTTAGTTTTAGCTATGCAGCTTGGTTGCAATTCCTCCCGTTGACTGGCTCACCGACCTCCCTTAGGCACGAGCTGTGGTGTATTAGTTGAAAGTCTCACCACCCCTCAATGATGAACTCATCAGCGCATGGCCAGATACAATGTCTGCTAAAGTAGAATCACTCTAGAACATACCTACAATGCTGCAATATAGTGGCTACCTTACTGAAGGTAGCTGATTACAGTAGGCGGTTACTCATAGCATTCACTCATCCGCTAATGGCGGAACCCGCTAACCCAATGGCCTCTCGACGCTGGATCAGCTCCCAGTTATAAATTCCTTCAATTTTACTAAGGGGAACTATTAAATTAAAAAACTATAATTATTAAGTATTTTAACTATATATAAACTCATTCTAGCTTTAATTATTAGTAAAAATAATTTAATTTAAAAATTAAAATATTATTAAAACTTATAATAAAATCTTAATAGTAATAATTAAATATATAATATATTATATAGGAACTATTTAATTATTTCTTATAAATACTTTTTTATATCTTTTAAAATATAGAATAGATTAGAATAAACTAAAAATTTAAAAAAAAAAAATTTAAATAATTATTAAAGCTTAACTAGTTATTAAAGATATAGTTATTAATATTTATATTTCACTTTAAGCAGGTATTATATAGTAATAAGCATAGAATTTGAATATTAGTTTTATTATTTATAGCAACAAGTAATGTTACAAGTAGCAATTTACTACTCCTTATTCATTGCTCCCTGGTCACTGCTCCTTATTTACTGCTCCTTATTTATGGCTGGTCTGGTTGGAAGAACTTCCAATCTGCCCTCAGCGTTTCACTACACCTCAACTAATTATCCTCATTATTTTGACTAAATAGATAAGTAATATGGTTAGTATAAAGAGAATAAAAATAGTAGCTAGGAAAATTTACCTTTCCTTAAAGCTTCTCTGGACATTATATTCGAGGTCTCTTAGGCTTGTTTTATAGTGCTTTAGAAGTAAAGCGTGGATGTCTTACTCTAGGAGAACTATCCGTAGAGTGGTAAGACTAGATCTGAATCTTGTCTCCGGGAGAAGAGCAGAGAGGTAAGATAAGGCAAACTAGAACTAATTATCGATGGATTAATATAGTATCTTAAGATAAGGGGGGTTTCATGGTTTCTTTCTACTTAAATAGAGAAGCAGCAATTATAAGAATACTTACCACCAAGCAGCTACGAAGAACAGGATAGGTATTGTATAGAGAGCAAGGTTGAGTGGCTGAGATAATGAGGATGGAGATATAGCAAGGCTAAAAGCCTTGAAGATCAAGCAGGCGAGAACGTTGAGTGAGGCAAGCATTAAGCAGCCATGCCCAAGGCGGTTGAGAAACTTTCGAACAAAGTGGCAATGAATGTGGGGCTCAATTCTCGGTGACTAGTTGAAGAACATTAGTATCTTTACCTATGCTTAAGAAAAAGAGCATGAAGTGGCAGCCGAGGCGTCAGCTGCACGTGGGGGAGGGAGGCAACGAACCCGAGGGCGAATAGATTCCTAGACGTACGCTGTAGCGATAACCAGGAATTGAGAACCAAGGAAGATGACGTAGAGAAAACCAAAGTTGAAAGTGAACGTTTCTAAACCCAATCCAGCCAGGCAGAGCCGGAAAACCAAGCAAAGCAGGCAGTAGAACATTCGGTCTAACCGCTTAAAGTATCTCTTCACAGCAACAAAGAAGAGGGTAACTACCCAGCATACTCCGAGCAACAGTACAGAAATCACTTTCTCGATAAGATCAATAACCAACAGTAGTATGGTAGCAAGAATGACGAGGGAGACGAGAATCAAGATGATTTTGTTGTAAGAAGACATCTTTTGAGGGCAATCGTGATGTACGGTAGTCGGAAGCAGGAAGTGTGAAGGGAGATCGAAGTTGAGATGCCAAATCGAAGTGTGGGGTGAGACAGGTTGACAGAAATGCAAGGAAGCAAAAGAGCATGACTGGCAGCGTGTGGTAGCCCTGTCCGCCCGGCAGAATTTTACCTCAATGCACTGTTCAAAAACGGCCGTTGGCAGCTAGCCTGACTGTGGTCACTATGGACCTTATTATCCAGTTGACCACGCCCACATACGAGTCATCAATGGGGACGCAATCCCGCCCTTGCAGTCCTAGTGAAAGAATGATCTTAACTTCTCTATGAACCTCTATTCATCGTGTCCTTTTACCAAAGCTAATTGGCATCGTTTAAATGGAGATTACGTATTGACAAAAAATGCATTATGAAAAGCACATACGTCATAAGGTGCAACTAATCCACCAACACCAACCACAACACACTGGATCGCTTGAGGAATTGACAGAAATCCTTTACAGTTTTCGAGTCCACTACGATGTTGTACCACGTGCTTTGGAATCCAAGAAACATCCCAACGGAATTACTGCATACTTATCCCAGCGTCTAGAGTGCGTCTGCTTTCTCTGGTTATGTTATCCATTCCCATTCGTGGTGATAAGGCGAAAGTACATTTAGAGTAGAAAGCACACCAAGAAGTCCCAACCCCTAAGGCTTCAATAACGAGCGTGGGCCACGTTCGTTAGCTCCGTCCGTTCAAGCCTGAATGGGCCTCCGCTTAAGTCACTTTTTCCATGATCTAGATAGACCTCAGTATTGGCAATTCAAGGTCAATGATTTCAAGTCAGTGACACCTCATTCTCACGGGGCGATGGGGAAGAATTTTGGATAGGCCCAGCATGGCCAGCTTCAGATTCACACTACTCGAAGTTCAGGAAATAACCGTACCAACCGCCCACTCTCCACCATCCCGGTTGACCGTATTCCCACTTCCTCCTCCACCACATTTCCATCCCCTTTCTATATCCACCAAAGTCCGACCCCGTTTTGGGGTCGAACTTTCCCCACGATTGGAATCCTTGGCTGGCTGAAGTAGACAGCCAGCCTTGCCTGGGTATTGAACAGTAGGGCTGTTGGCAGCAGGAAGAGAAATATCCCTTCCGTACATGCCAACGGCCCCCTGTCCTCACCAGGCACAGGCCTCCTCAACCCTCGAACAAACCAAAGATTATCATAAGCCGGAAGTAAAACTACATTTATCGTAGTCTGGTCAGCTCGAGGTCCCAAAGTTCAAGATTCTAGAACAAATCAAGGGAAAGGGGAAAGGTCTACTTGGAGATACTTACATATTCGGCGAGGAGCATCCCCATCTTGGAGAGGACGGCAAAAAACGCCACTTCGTAGAGGCCAGGGGGGTCACAACGGATTTGAGTGCTGGTGAGGAACTCGGCGAACGTGAAGCCCACAAGAACGAAAAGGAAGAAGAAGGCCGAGCAGACGATGAAGGTGAAGGTCTTGATGAGGCAGCGGACACCGGGATTTCTGCTGAACTCCGCGAGAACACTACGGAACGCGTTGGACCGATCTTCAGGGGCCTATCAGAGTCAGACACGGTTAGCTATCTTCGAGTCAAGGATGTAAATAAGTCGAATGTCGAAATGGAGAAAAACCTACGCGTCGTCTGAGTGACTCGAAGAAACCAAGGGCATTGTAGATCATCCAGTAGTGGACGAGGTAGGCATGACGAGCTCCGATAAGCTGGGGGACTCCTGTTCCAGGCGTGTAGGCACCGAGGCAGAGAAGGTGAACGCCGGCGGCAAGCTTGTAGATATTGACGGTGAGCTCAGTCGTGGGTTGGAAGACAACGAAGTACAGAGAAGTCATTCCAGAGGCTTGCGAGAGTCTCATGAAAGCCATGGGCTTGAAGTGGAGGACCGATGACAGGAAGTAGTAGATGACCGCAAGCACCACGGATACCATCCAGTGGTTATTGTGAAGCTCGAGGGAAAGCATCTTGTCGACTTCAAATACAATGATGAGGTCAGGCGGCTGCTTAGAGGCTTAGAACCTTAGGCAACGTAACTGCAAAGAGTAGGATATGCGTAGAAGGAAAGAAGTAGGGCAAGAAGAAATATGGGTTGCTCAAGATGAGATGATTGAGGTAGATGCAGATGTCTTCGAAGGTATTTCAACTTCAGGTAGGCAAGATTTTGAAAGGGTGAAGGACAATGGAATAAGAAAGTGAGAAGAGGTGAGGAGGGATGTGGGTCCAAGAGGTGATGAGTATCAACAAGTGACAGTCTCCTTCGACGCGGGACACGTCAAGACGCGGTTGGCTTAGGGCACAACGGCAGAATTCTCACCGTCGACGAGTCCGCCCTCAGCAGGTGGTCGTTGGCGGCTGGCTAGACCGTCGTCCCCTACGCAGCCACTGCCTGCCTAGGTACTTACCTACCTACCTACCTACCTTCATGGTGACCAATTCGCGTACCCCTTTTCTATCATCATATCTACCAACATCGTGCTGAGCCAGCACTCATTGCACCCCTCATCAATACCCCTCTCTCCCCTTATCACAACCGGGTATCGACGTTAGATACGCTCTAGTGTACTTTGTCTTGTACGTCAACTGAATTCTTCTAGGACTGAAGGCTAGAAGTAGTCTAATCAGGGGCAAGATAGGCAAACTACCGGAAGCTCCATTCCATGCTGTACCGATTCTCCAGGGCCAGAACACGATTTTACCCCAGAAACGAATACATCCAAAGCCACCTTTAAATTTATCAGCCACACCGTATTGTTTGTTGCTATACTTGGCATAACAGGGGTGCCAGGAGGAATTGTATGAACCCCAGGCCACGACACCAGCTTTGGACTGTTTGTGCTGATATTCAACATTGGCAATGCTCTTTACCAGCTTGAATGGATTTTGATTCATTAAAACCTTAGTATTTTACACCATTCGGGCTTGTGCTCTTCTGAGTTGCTGTCCTAATCAATGACTCAAGGAGGCCGCTCTCTTAGACGGCGGGCACCAGCCATCTGCGAGCGAAAGGCACCACGAACCCATATCTGCGCCTGCAGTGGCTTTAGTGATTATCACATAAAGAAAACTAGTCTTCATCGAAAGGCGGATCAAATCCTTCACAACCACGTTGTGTTCACAGCGCAGACTTGGAACGGTGGATTCGACGGATCGGATGCTGTCTTTCCATTATCTAGGTTCTGGCAGTTTCGGTGCAAGCCGCATAGCCGCCGATCCTTCTGATTTTTCAATTTTTATTGGCAGGTCATTATAACAAATATATACGATATATAACGTGCTATATCACCTCCCATCTAAGCAGACATAGAGGGTGGTTTGGGCAACAGCTCCCTCAAGATGGCACGGCGGCAATATTGTTGAAAGAAGTAGGAGAGTAGCAGTATTCGATCGATGATTTCCTCCTAGCGGTATCTCATCACTCCGAAGTATCTCATGCGACATCTCTACAAGCCTTCGCTGATAGTGATGCATCGTTCGCTCAACAGAGAAGTCTTTCTCGTTGGTGTGTCGAAATCGAAAAAGAGGCTTTTGATCTGCCAGGCAGGGTTGAGTGATAGAAGGCCGTGCTTGTAGAATGACTAACGCCTATGCAACAAGAGAGATCGAATTGATAGCATCGGATTCCGCTGAACACCTAGTTGGAATGTATGAATAGACTATACTGCATGTCCCCTTTGCGCTCCTCGGCCCTCTATGTTTCATTCCGATCAGCAGGACCCTAACTAGCGATGGGTAATATCAAGTACATTGGATGGCGAATCAACCTTGTCTCCGGCGTGCTCATGCCACTGCAGATTCTGTTGTTTAGCCCGACATCTTACTCATATCAACTGAACGGGAAGAAGTACCATTGGGATGACTGGTTGATTTTGGCTGATCTCTTCATCCAGCTTCTTGTCACTGGAATGATCTTAGGTCGGTACGCCTTTGTGGTGAAGGCTAGATGTCATCTAGATTAATGTGCTCCTAAGGCGCGGTGCATAAGGGAGGATTAGGATACTACGTCAAATGCCACGGCGTGAGAGACCCTGAGAGGCTCGTCATACATGTATACTCCAAATATCATAGTGCAGCGCGACCATCATTCTTCTCAAATTGACCAACCTGGTCGTCTATTTAATTAAGAGCTTGTAGACTCTCCTGGTCTGTAGGGTCCTTACAGGGAAAGGTGTTTGAGTGAGAATTAGCTGCCAGCTTTTTTCGAAATCCAACAATTCTTGCCTTTATATTCATTTCGGAATATCGTGATCTTTGACTCGTCATTCAACGGCCAATTTAGCTCGTATGGAGATCAAAATGATACCATCCAATTGATCAAATGCGGGACATCCCAACCAAGCACTAAGCACACGGAAGTCAATCGTAGCTGTTAGTTTTGACTGCGCAGCTTGGGTACAGTTCCCCCTGTGCGGGTTGTGGTGTTCTTGAACGTCGACGTAAGAGCGTGACCAGCAGGAGTCCGCTAAGCCGCTTACGGATAGTGGTGGGGCATTTGCGGAGGAAAACAGGCAAACCCTATTCGCCAATGCTGTGGGTCATTTTCTGGCCCATTCATAGCCGGCGACGGTCTGACGCAGATCTCCCCTGAATTATTGGCAAGTGCATCCGCACATGATGATGATGGCGCGGCGAAATCAGGTCGCGAATCCGACCGTCTCTCTTTCGACGTCCCCTTTGGACCCTTTGCGTCGGATGGTTCGAAGGACATGACTATTTCCTCGCGCCACCGTGCATCAGCGCTAACCTGCCATAACCCAGATTCACGGAAACACGTCCTCTTCAAACTTGTTAGCACAACAACGTCAGCACGGCTGCTCGTCTTCATTCCCAAGCGAGGCAACTTGTTTGGCGTTGCAGCATCGGGTGCCAAGGACTCAGACGGTCTTGGATGGCAGAGTTTCTCTGCGGCACGCAGATTTGGAGGTAACGGCAACCTTGAGACCATCGTCCTCCAACCACGTCTTCCGGCGCAGCACCATCACGCAATTCCCAAGCATCAAGTCGCAGGTTCGTATCCAAGATTCCAAAATCGCCTTGCGTCACACTAGGGTCGGCTCAGAACCCGCCGGATCATGCTAGGGCATCAAGAGATCGGGATCAGGATATGAGCGTCTGGGTAAGGAGCAAGAAGATCATCATCAAACATGATTCTTGTCTTCCTGCCACCGTTTCGCAGACCAGCAGGATGTGAGTCCACCCTTGTTTGTCCTACGTCAAAATCCTGGAAAATGATCTCTTCACGGCTTCCAAATATAAACACTAGACGGGGTTCTGTTTCTTCCACGCCACATCGATACCCCGCCTCCTCCTTTTAAGAAGAGTTCCAAAACTTGGTTGTCTTCCCCCCGCAATGGCCAAGTTCCCACCTAGCGGGGGTATGTGACAGCTCGAAACTCTCATCTCGAGTCTCGAAGTGGTTCTATTTCGTCATGTCCATCGTCGGCCACTACACTACAAGAATGTTAGTGTGTGGAAAGGGAGAGAGTCTGAGTGACAACTTAAAAACAACAATGAAAGATGCCAAACCCGACATCCCAACACAATGGCTAGCGTGGAACAACCTCTTTCATACACGGATCTTAGCAAAAACTGTGCTCGAGCGGAAGGTAGGCTTGTACTTATCGAAACCGTCCACGACTATGATTAACGTGAGACCCATAATGCAGGATACTCACCCAACCATCTACTTGACTAAACCGATACTACTGTCACGATTTCAAAAGCTGTTTTTCATAGTCTCATGGGTCAGAAAACCATGTGTCAGACGTCGAGGGATGTATATTATTATCAAGGTGCAGCCCTGGTATACTTAACAACAGTGATAGCGTTACTTCTGAGGCAGTGAGTTTTTCCAATTGATACCTAGAGAGTCGATTGGTCGTTAACAATACCCTTGCAGTGTACAGTCCTATTGCGAGTCAGACTACAGAAGGAATACCCACTGGGAAGGTCTTTCTAAAGGCTGCTCTCCTGGATGGGCAGCCCTCCCCTTCAGTCACAATTTGGGTAGGGACCCCATGAAGCAAGCAGCCTAGTATTGAGAGAGCGACTCAGGTCAGCCTACAACGAAGGGTTAGATTGATCAACGAGTTGTCGATGTCGAACATCATCCTGTCAATACAGCCATGCCGAACAATCCAAGGGCCTACAACGCATGAACCACTATCCTCAAAAGCGGGAACAACGAAAACCCCAATAACCGAATCTTGGTCAGTTTGAGGCTCGTTCACTACAATGGTCGCAATACGTAATCACACACAACATTGACTACCAAACCGGTTGCCGGTACTAGGTGCTGATTGGGTGAAGCAGCCATCCGGATCTGCAACTCTATTTGGTCCCAGGACGATGGTGGCGCACCAGACTTCGCTCATAGACTGGCAATGGAAACCTTATAGAAGAATCAGTCAAGACGCTAGACTTAAACGGCCGGGCGTTTGCGCATGTCCGGTACAGGAAAAGGCGGACGCAGACCTGCCACAGCGGCGGGATCATCTGCGCCCTCGTCCATCCCAACGACGTCTATATCATCACCATGGGCGCCATCGCAGCCATCACCATCACCTACTCTCGAACAAATACGATATACACGCCTGATAAGACAACGACATTTTTCGGTCCCCACACGCCTCTTCATCACCATTCCGCAAGTCCCACCAATGAGCAAGCTTAATCTGGTTTAATGAGCCTCGCCCGTTCCAGCGAGAAAGTCTAAATGCTGCCTATCTCAGCATTTCAAGTTCCAGTCATCTTAGCAGCGCTGTGCTCCCCCAACCAGAGCTTTCCACACTCTGGCGCCTTTTATTCATCGAGCGGCCGATCTCTGCCACTGGTCGCCGGCTTGAGGCTAATGGCGCTGCCTAGACAGACCATAGAAGCCAAAAGGAATCCACGCGTTCCTCATGGTTATCGTTCGCACGAGACGGACTGGCTCCATACTAAAGAGTCCCAGCTCCATCTCTGAATGCCAGTCCCTTCTTCTCTTCTTCTCGAATCCATTCCCCGCGTCTGCCCATCCTCTGCGCATCGTACTACCTGCTTGGATGTTTGATGGCCGCACGCACACGCGAGGAACATCGACACCATGGCCGACGACGGCAGCAAGAGGCCAGGCCTCATCGTTACCTTCTGGATACTCGCCGTGGTTAGCGGCATGATGATGGGTCTGAGGCTGTATTGCAAGGTGTGGCGGAGCCGAGGTCTGTGGTGGGACGACTACACGATGCTGCTATCATGGGTATGTTGAAAACGTCCCGTGAGTCTAGATGTCTATAACGCGGGCGGTTAATTGATGTCTTGCAACCCCGACAGATGGCCCTGGTGACGGGCGTCGGCTTCGGCACGGTTATGGTCCTACGAGGCTTCGGAGGCCACCTCTGGGCGATTGGGCCGGACGACATCGTCGTCGTCAACTTCATGACTTTGCTGGTAACTATATTCTCGGTTGTGGCCACTTCTGTGAGCAAAACGTCGTTCGCCTTGACGCTGTGTCGGCTCTCATCGGACGTCTACCTGCAAGGCATTCTCGTCTTCATCATTGTTAGCGTCAATGTCCTGATGAATGCTATCTGGGTCGCGGCACTCGCCATGTGCGCGCCGACCGAATCGGTGACGAACAGCAAGATTCCAGGGGAGTGCTGGAGCAGCCCAGTTCTCTTCAAGCTTTCGCTCGCCAGTTCTTGTAAGCCACTACTCAATTCCTCTCGTTGTATCCATCAATCAGTCGACTAATCAACATGCTCCAAAGTTTATTCAGCAGTCCTAGATTTCATCCTTGCGATTCTTCCCTGGGTCATTCTCAAAGACATGACGCTGAGCACACGGGAAAGGCTCGGGGTCTGCCTCGCCATGAGCTTAGCTGCACTGTAAGACCACCTCGGCCCATGCCGTAACTTTACAAGCCACAGCTAATCATTCCCCCAGTGCTGGTGGCATCGCCATGGCCAAGACATTCATGGTGTTTCACATGTCGTCAGCAGACTACACCTACTCTCGCGTCAACTTGGTCGTACTCGCATTCGCTGAGCCTGCCATCTCAATCGTGGCCATGTCCATCCCCGTGCTGTAAGTCGAAGAGATCAACGCCGGATTTAAAGAGCACATGTTAACTTGGAATAGCCGGACCCTGTACCGCGGGATAAAAACCCGCCGCCGAAGCGAGTTCGGCAGCAAGTCGTCCCAAGCGCCCCTACGTCAACCGACATTCTCCAGCTGGACCTCCGTGCAGGGCCCCTCATCACGCAGATCTACGTTGGGAAACCTCTGGAAGTACGGGCACCACTCCGTCATCGTCTCGGCCGGCAGGCAGGGCTCAGTGGCGCCGCTGGACTCGGGGAGCGAGTCGAGGAGGCAGAGCACCAAGATCGTGATACCGCCCAGGGGCGTGATGAAGACGGAGGAGATTGTCGTCCGCCATGAGAATAGATATTCAAGGGGTGATAGCATCGCTGCCGTGACTACTGCATCAAGCGCAATTGAGAAGTCGTGGTGAATAAGATGGGAAATTCCCATTGCAGTATGAGAGCTACGGACGTCACATGAATCAAAGTACTTATAGAAACGAAATAGCGAAGATTTATTTATTCATTCATAGATATATATTAGTGTATCTAGACAAGATCGAATCAGGTCTATTCACCACGTCATATTCCAACCTCTAGTTATAATCTAAATCTACACATATATGGATCATTCCACCTCGGCCCACTGCCGCCTCAACATCGCCATCCGGGCCGGACCCGACAGGTTCGTTGCCTCATTCGACGCCTCCTGGGCCTGTTTTGCCATCGTGGCCCCAGTCAGCAGATAGTCATTGGCGTGCCCGTACCCCGCGTACGAGTTGCCAACGGTGTAGCTATGACCCATCGTGTTATCCACCGAGTGGCCAAGGAAGTTGTAGAACATGGACGAGGACCGGAGCCGGTTGGCTTCGAAGGCAGCCATCTGCATATCTGACTGGATGCGGTCACAGACGGCAATGGTGGCGCACCAGACTTCGTGCCTCTGGTTTCCAATCGCTAGAAATCCCTCGAGGTCGCCAGTCTCGCAGGCCTCCAAATAGAGCTTCCTCATTCTTGGTGAGTACATGTCACACATCCGGCCTTTGGGATCTGGATCCCCCTTGAGGGCGAATCTCCCTTCCAAGGCAGTCCCCTTTGCAAAGGATATATAACACTCCTCGCATATGGCCGAAACACCCCAACCCCAGAATTTCCTGTTCTTTCCACGCCGGTAGTGGTTCCCTGGGCAGGTGAGAACGTTTCCATACGTTCCGGCGTAGTCCCCGATATATTTGGGATCCCCTGTCAACGCACTCTGCACGAACCGAGCCATGAAGTTAGCAAATCGCCCGTGTTGGGAATTAAAACCGCATAATATCTTCGACTCGAACCATGGATAATCGCCTTTATCAACGAAGAAGTGCTCTGCTCCCATGGATTCAACGACAGCGGTGAAGCAAGCCTCACATATCCCAAACCCGGGTGGATTGCTGGGAAGAGTATATCACTTCCCCTGGATCCCCTCAGTGGTGCAGGGCTGGCTCCGAACAACCTGCGCAGCTTTCCAAAATATCTTCTGATCGTCCTTCCAGACAGATGTGTTTGCGGCAATCTCCAAGTACGAGTTCCCTATGTCGCAGTGCGTATCGTAGTCTCCGCCGCCGACCTGGTGGAAGACCTGGGCATCCGGTGTGCCAACAAAGTAGTCGAGGTAACAAGCCACACAGATCTGCATGCTCGGACGGCCTTCGTTGGTTTGATACCAGGGAAGTCCTTGCGCCTTTCTCTTCCCTCCCTTTGGGCAAGCGGGCATCGAGATTCGAGCACTGACACCTTCCACAAAATTCTTCCATTCCTCGATTTTCTTGGTCTCCTTCAACAGACGATCAATAAACGTGCAAGCCAGATCGCAAGTACATCCATTGGGGATCGTCTGCAACGTGAATTTCTCCCGGATCACAGGGTCGATGCCGGCATCCTCGAAGCACGCCGGGCACATGGTCGATCCTTGGATATCTGTACTGACATACCAAGATCTTCCCTCGACCGAAGTGGCCGCGGGACACGGCGGAAGGGCAGCTCTCATCTTCATGTACTCCAGTACAGGAGCAAGATCGCCGGAGGACAGTGCCGCGGGCCAGAGCTGCTCTTTCAACCGGCGGGACGGAAAGCTACAACATGGGCTCTCGGCTGCCTTGATGTGGACCTTTTCGAAAGATTCATGGAACCTGGGGTCGTAGACATGCTCTGCGTAGCATCGGGAGCAGATATATAATGAGGGTACGGCAGGATGGTGGAACCAATCCACGTCCAGGTTGATACCGCCGGCAGCGCATTCAGCGAGGGGAGTCACTCCGCAAGGGTGTGGCTTGGGGAATTTCCATGATACTGAAGGCTTACGAGGCGACTGACCTTGCGGCACTGCGTCTCTGGGCTTCAGATTAGGGGTTTGAGATGGCTCTCCGGCTTGGGGAGAGATGGGAGCAGGTGGTTCCAAGCTTCTCAGAGGTTTTCCACCCGGAGGGGTCCAGTTCGGAGGCGGTCCTGGTGGGGGCTCAAAGTCGGTATCTAGGTCATAAGTCGGGGTTTGAGTAAGACCAGGCGGGTGAGTTGAGCCCTGCCGGTGTTGAGGTGGGACCTGTCCTGGGGACTGCGCTGGTAGTTTATGATCCTGGATACGGAGGTTTTGTAGCCGGTTCCCAACTAACACCATCTAAGCATTGCGCATGGAGCACGTGTCACATCATAACATGTGGAGGGATATAGAGATCGGGTAGTGCGGATGGGTGGTTCACTCACGGGCGTCTCCGCCGGCGGGAGAGTCCTGTAGGGAGGACACAGAATTCATGGGATAGCTTTGCCACAAGGCGAATATCAATATCCAAAACAAGCGTTGATGAATATTGACTAGGGGAGGAAGAAGAATTCCAGAAGATCTGGGGATGATGATGCAGGTTGTTCCCACGCCAAGAAGAAACAACGTCACTGTCGCTGTACCGTCTATTACGAATTCCCTGTTTTGGGAACGGGTCTGTTCCGTTTGGCGGATCCGGGGCCAGGCCCATTACTAATCAGTCCAGGCTTAAGCCTGCCAACTACCTGACGAAACTGTTATTGAAGGGACTGCCATGGCAATAACTCCAGCCCTATAAGAAGGGTTACGACAAACGACCTCGCTTAATGCTTTTATTTTTAAATGAGAAAGATGAAGACCGACAGCTTAAATTTATGAGCGCGGAGCGATGAGAATTGTTCACGTCGATACACTTCACATCAGGTCCAAATCCTCTCACCTCTAGCCTACCCTATATATGTACCCTTCCACCAACCCGACCGTCAAAATCGCACAAAAGCTAACTCTGGACGTCGTTTAGATCTCGAGTAATCGCAGAGAGGTTTTTCCATATCGCAATTGCAAAACATCTACAAAAAAAATGAATTGTGAGGCTGGGGCAAAGTCAATGAAGTCTGTCCACATTGGCCCGTCACCAAGACGCCTAAGTTATCATCAGCCACCGTCACCTTTCAACAAAATCAACCCACCACAACTAAGAAGGTAGCCACGCTCTCTTTCACATACGACCATACCTACTAGGAAGCACTGGATCCCGTCTGCTCTCCGAGCGTTAAGCTAGTGAGGGGCCGATTAGTAGCTGGGTCGGTGACGACCAGCGAATCCCGGCTGTTGTATGTCTTTTGCCTTTTTGCCTGTTTGTTCCTCGAAGCTCTACTGGTCTGATTATTCTGGCAGTGAACAAGTAGGGGGGAGATCACTTTTAGTCCCGTAAACCCGGAAAGAATTCAACAGGGGCTCTGGCGTTTGGATTTCTGTTATCGACAACGGTTGAGCCACCGATACGAACCAGCTGTGATGGCTCCTTGCCAGCCTCGTGAATCTCTGTACCATTGGAGTCGCCCCGGGAGAGGCATGGTGGGCTGATGATAGAATACCCTTCGATCCATTTCTCACATCAATCGCTGATCCTCCCTCAAGAAGTGGCTGGTGGGGCGTCTACTGAATACGACTACGACTGTATGAAACTGATATCGGTCCGCCTTCCTCTGATGGGTATATAGGCTAATTAATATAGATACTATTCTATCAATAAGTTAGCAAAGTTCTATAGGACCGAATAGAATGCCACAAAATCGAATGATTGGTTGAGAGGGGAAGATCGACTTACACTTACAGCGACCACTTTGTGCCGAGGTCTCGCAGACACCATTGACGCTTACGACGCCGACAAACCACCCATCAGATACGGCTGGCCAAGGCCTCTCAAGTTCTACCTAATCTAGGAGAGCGGACGGCGAAGTGCCGGGGTTAGATCCACATAGGTTGCATCACCTGTCGATAGGGAAACGGTTATCCAGCTTCCGATTCAGGCCGCTGCTATGCGACACGCCTTGCTAATAATTGCACCGCTCGCACATTGACATGTGGAATATCTCAACATATTTGAAGAATCATATCCGCCTCCCTCCTGACTCCAATATCACACACTTTACCGAACCGATCTATCCCAACAATGCGGCTAGCAGTCATGGTGCCCATACTCTCCACTATTGCCACGCTTCTTGTGGGCAGTTCCTTCACAATCGCCCAAACCTTTCAAGATGTCACCGATTTTGGACCTGTGTATGAAACCAGCCTTACCATGAAGATCTATGTTCCATCTGAGCTGCCTTCTAACCCAGCAATCCTTCTTGCGGTTCGTCCTACCCAAGTTTCCCTGACTAGCCAAGAACTCTCTATACAGTGGCATTGAAAACGTACCCAACTAACGTAATCGACTAACTTTGGCCAGTTGCACGGATGTGGTGGTAGTGGTCAACAATACTTCAGCTCAACGAAATACACGGGCCTGGCTGATGCCCACGGTGTCATCCTCATCTACCCTTCCACCCCCAAGGACAGCAATTGCTGGGATAACCACAGCAACAAATCTCTTTCGCATGGCGGCCATGGTGACACCGAGGTTCTGATCAACATGGTCGACTACGTCGTCGACGAATACAACGCGGACGCCAACCGGGTCTTTGTGGTTGGTACGAGCTCGGGTTGCATGATGACGAATTCTCTCTCAGCAACCTATCCTGATCGCCTCGCAGCTGTTTCTTGTTACTCTGGAGTTGCTGCTGGCTGTCTAGCTGGCCAGAAAGGCTCCAGTCCAATCTCCAGTGATCGTGAATGCAGTAACGGGAATATTCAGAAGACTGGTGAGGAGTGGGCCGAGCAGGTTCATTCTATGTACCCGGGATACGGCGGGAACTACCCGCGATTTTTGACTTGGCATGGCAATGCCGACACACTTGTGTTCTATCAGAATCTGATCGAGCAACTGAAGGAGTGGTCGACCATCCAGGGAGTAGAGTTCTCCAAGAACGAGACGGACACTCCTGAGAAAGGATATACCAAAATGGTGTATGGTGATGGTACAAAGCTGGTTGGCATCTCAGCCGATGGAGTTGGCCATGTCGTTCCCAACCATGAAGAGGAGGATTTTAAGTGGTTTGGTCTGATTTGAGATCAATGACGCCCTCGGCCCTGTTTTATACCAAATTTGATAGTGGGCAGTCAGTATGAGCTGGTATGAAGAAGAGGAATAACAAATTCCGGGAAATTACTTATCTTGTTTGGTCTGAATGCACCTGGTATTGGTCAAGACAACGACTATAGTCTATCTCCCACAGTCTCTGTGTTGTCTCAAATCACAGAAACCCCCGGCCAACTGTCAGGTTCTCCCAAAAGGAGCCACTAGAGGTTCTGGGAAAACACCCCTGGCGATATAATGGAATTATGTTGATGTAAATTCAGGCGAGAAGGTCTCGAAAGTAATTGTCTTTGTTCTTGAGATGGCTAGTTAGCAGTCTAATCGTCCGCGACCGTAATCAAAGTTCGATTGCTCACCTGGAGTATATCAGCGGCAAGATGCAGAGTGCGGTTCTGGGATTGTTTTGTATTCGTGGCTTCATGCTAGCCTCGGATATCTGGCAGACTTCTTCGCAGTACCTATCCGCAAGATTAGCATTCATCGCAAAATGTCAGAGAGATATTATGCTAACTTGGCTGAGGGACAAGAAGATAGTTTATGCGGTCACCGGTTTTGAACCATAGCCAAAAGAAAGCCATTGTTAACCATTAAGAGAAGTCCAACGTCAGAAAGGTATACTGAGATGTTAGAATGGGGCAACGTACCACATGACTATTCATTCTCTTCTCGAATGCGTCTTTCCGCCCTTGACAAAGAGAACGTACGTGTTGGGATAGCTATCGAGGAAGATCGGTTTTCTAAACGAGAGGGTTATCTAGTTTTAGTAGGAAAGATTTGACCTGTGTAAAAGGGGAAACCTACGAACGGAAAGTTGAGAAGATCAAGAAAGATAATTAGAAGAATAAATAACGTCAGATCAGAGCATGGATCCTCGTGAGGCGTATTCGCTGGCAAGGCGGCTAACCATGCAAGTAGACAACTGATGAATCGGATGGAAGTCGAGCAGAATTCTCTCGAACTGTATCTATGCGATATGCGAAGCCCCGTTTTCGGTATTTTCTGCTATCAGACGTGAAAGAAACATGGTTGGGGAGGAGATTCCGGGGTTACTTAAGATTATCGAAAACCCGAAGAAGCGAGGTTAGCGTTGAAGCATGGGAGAACCCTTGGACGGCGCTCGGTGCACTTCACCGGCCGTGTTGTATGATGGTACCGATAGACTTCAGGGGTATTTCCACAAATAAAAGGTCGAGATCAAGCTCCATTATTCGTAAGTCCAGATGATGTGGCATTTGTAATTGTGTCCGTCGTTTCTCTCGTTGCTCTCTTGGCATGATATCTTCCTCTGCATATTGCCATTGCCTCTGGTGTAAATGCCTCGTATCTGTACTGATATGAAAGATCTATACGCAATCAGTAGTCCCAAATCATGCTTGATTTCGAATTCAATGGAATGTCAGTGATAGTTTGGCCCCAACTGAATTCATCTTCTCCTCTTCTTATTGCGATGGGTTGCAGCCATTTCACTGTCCTTACCCCTTTTCGCGCAATTTTCGCTTCCCACCGTTATAGCCTCCACCTCCTGGATGCGGCCCATTTTTCATCGTGTAAGTGCTTCTTCGCTTCGGCGCAGGCCGCATTCTTCGATTGCTTACACGCCTCGTCTGAAGTACCACAGCTTCTCCTTTTGATCATGTTATCGACGCTGTCCCTTCGTGATGTATCCTCCTCTTGTAGTGTCTTGCATTCGTTCGTATACGTAACTTGTTGTGTCTCTTATCGCCTGGCCCGGGTTAGCCAAAACTCCCGTTCGTCCTAAAAGATTTGAGGTTATTATTCTTTTGGAATTCAGGCCTTCTTTTTCTTCTCAGTGTCTGCCGTCTTCTCGTAGAACCTAACTCCTTCTCGCTGCGCAACTTGTCTCTCCGTCTCTTATTTTGTAACCTCCTCTTCCCATTACTTCCTCCTGATCATGCTCAATTCTTTCGTTCGCGTACTCGACATGAGCTCGGTTCGGTTTCCTCGCAGGCTACAATATTTCCTGTTGCCCCTATCGAAAAGTCCCATGTGTAAGTTTACATCCTCCTCTTGCTCTTGCAGCTGCCTGCTCTCGATCGTATACGGTACCTTGTCGTCGAACGTGGAGGTTCTTTTGACGTGTTGCGCGTGGGAAGTAACTCTCTGTTACACCTTCGAATTCCTTTTCAACGTCGTCCTCTTGAACTCAGTTGCCTTTCTCGGTCCCTTAACCTTCCTTCTCAACCAACAGCCACCCCGTTATTATATCCTCCTCTTTCAGTGGCATGCCCCCGATCGTATACGGTACCTTGTCGTTAAAGGTTAGCTTGCCTTA